GTTATGTTTACTATCTTTTCCAAGAATTCCAAACACGAGGGAGAGAATAAGGCAGGCGCACAACAGGGATCCTGTATGAAAATTCATCGGACGAAGATTTTACCTTTTATTGTGAAAATTACATTTTTATACTATTTGTACAATTCTACTGGAAAAGCAGTCTTAAACAAGCAAAACCGGCAAAAATATTGTAACAAAACTGCCAAATTTCAAATATTTTAGACGTCAGTTGGGCGCCCTCATTCGGTCATAAAGCGAACGACCACCCACGAAAACGGGTCACGAAAAACGGCGAGCCGTCCCTACTGATTGTTATCTCTACTGTGCTAAAACCTCTAGCACTAAATTGTCACGCTACCAAACAAGCATCTCCTTGTGCCCGGTTGCCTATGTTTAACGATTTCCCTTTTTGTGATTGAATTTTTTTTTCTTTCAAATTCAAATTATTCAAATGTGATTTCGCGCCGCTGTTAATTAATTTCAGCGCGAAAACTTTGATTTAAATTCGGTCACCACAATTCTATTATTAATTTCCATTCCCACTCGATAGAAAAACATAATTAGCCCCACCCACCCACCCTGTCTATTTTTCAGTGATTGATTTTATCTGATGTTAATCACTTTTACGATGCCGAAGTCTGGTAATGAAAGATGGCTTTGTATATATGTATTTGCCATCATCAATTGATTGGTTTGTTATTATAATAAGAAATTAAAGCAGAAAAAATATCAGAATTTTTACATGGTAATAGAGACAAAGAAATGTGTGTCTATTTCATTTGATGCCCCTCCTTATCCCACTTCCTTGCCTATTAGTGTTAGTTTCAATCAGTGATTGGAACAATTACTTTTTGAAAAATGTGTTGAGGAGACAATTTTAAATATTTGTTCTATAGGAACATTATTTTTTCAAACATCCAAAGGATCAAGAAAAAACGTGTTAGAATGAAAAAGTTAGTGAGTAATTTATTTTATGCTATATAGGTATAAATATTAAATACAATAATCAACAATAATTGACACTCAAAATTTATGTTGATTTTATTTATGGTGGTCATTGTAATAATAATAATCACCATAATATAAGTCATAATTTCTAGATTTACCATCTTAGACGTGTTTTAAGTTTCTTGTTGTCGAAATAAGTCTACACCTATTAAGAAAAGAAGGCAAAATGTAGCCCCGCCCACCCGCCCTATCTTAATTGTGATGATTTTTTTATTCGTCGTGAGCCAGTGGGGCGGAGCTTAACTGCAAAATCCGTATTTTTCTACCAGAAATTAAAACCAGATTTTTGAGTGTCGTGTTATTCAAAGAATACTACAGGTGTTCATTTTATTCGTTCACTCCTGACAATTTTCGCATAGGCAACACATTATACACCATAGAGACGACTTCGTCCAATTTATTTATTTTTTTTAAATAAGCAATTATAGCAATCACAGAAGAAAAAATGACAAAGATGATAATAATAACAACTTGTCAAACAAATAAACAACATTTTCAAAATTCTAAATGTAAATGTAGCTTTACTCTCATTGTGATTGATATTTAAAAAAAAAGTCAAATTAATTTTGCCATATTCCATTTTATAAATCACGACCTTCTCTATTAACTACCTTGCGATGAACCGAACAAAACAGTAATCAGTGCAAAATCAATATCATAATTCGAGATTTATGAAAATTCTTCGAAAAATATACCGGGTGTCTGGAAAATGGCGGATTAACTCGCCGCTACGCTCTTAACAATCAACTGATGAGTCTGGGAACAATAGTACAAAAATTCCTTCTCCCATTTTGGTGGAGTTATAATTATTTTAAAATTGGTTCTTTAAACAACACACTCATTATCACAATAACTAGTAATAAAACTGTTTTATTGTTTGTAACAATTTGATAAAATTTCATTTGACAACAAAGCTTTTAGTGTTTAATTTTTTATGAATTTGAAAAAGTCTTGAGTGCCGCATTCTTTTTGTTTTTTTTTTTTTTAATTCAGGAAAATGTTGGGTACCCATGGTATATTATTTTGGGAGCCCATGGAGGTTTTTTTTGTAAATTATTTAAACCCATTTTGGAGGACTTATACAAACTTTAAATCCAACATAAAACCATTTTAAATTTCGCGGTCTGTCAAATGGTGTTAATAAATTTTTATTTTTGTTAAGTTTCCGCCAGGTTTGCTCCACGGTGACGATACTATGTGTTTTCTAGGGGCTATAGCTGGTACTAACAACGCCCACCAGCCGTCTATTTTCTTAAAGGGATCTCATTAGCCAAAATCAGTCTTATCTTAGCAGGTACTAGCCCTCTAATAAGAAAATAAAGGACGCGTGGGCATAGCTAGTGCTATAAGACTGATATTGGCAAATAACATACCCCTAAAAAAGAAAGGGTGGGTGGGTGGGGCTAATAATTGCCAAAATAAGACTGATTTTCACAAATGGCATACCTTCAAAGAAAATAAAGGGTGGGTGGGCGGGGCCAATACTTACCGAGATAAGATTGATTTTGCCAAATCATATAGTTTCTACCCTGCATTTTCTTAGAAAATAGGCCATTTGCCAAAATCAGTCTTATCTTAGCAGGTACTAGCCCTCTAATAAGAAAATAAAGGACGCGTGGGCATAGCTAGTGCTATAAGACTGATATTGGCAAATAACATACCCCCTAAAAAAAGAAAGAGCGGGTGGGTGGGGCTAATAATTGCCATAATAAGACCGATTTTCACAAATGGCATACCTTCAAAGAAAATAAAGGGTGGGTGGGCGGGGCCAATACTTGCCGAGATAAGATTAATTTTGCCAAATCATATACTCTCTACCCTTCATTTTCTTAGAAAATAGGTGATTTGCCAATATCAGTCTTCTCTTAGTAGGTACTAGCCCCCCCACCCACCCGCGTTTTTTAAAGGATATGTCATCTGCCAAATTCAGTTTTATCTGAGCAGGTATAGTAACCCCGCCCACCCGCCCTCTATTTTCTAGAGGGATCTCATCAGCCAAAATCAGTCTTATCTTAGCAGGTACTAGACCTATAAGAAAATAAAGGGCGGGTGGGCATAACTAGTGCTATAAGGCTGATATTGCCAAATAACATACCACCCCTTAAAAAAAGAAAGAGCGGGTGGGTGGGGCTAATAATTGCCAAAATAAGACCGATTTTCACAAATGGCATACCTTCAAAGAAAATAAAGGGTGGGTGGGCGGGGCCAATACTTGCCGAGATAAGATTAATTTTGCCAAATCATATACTCTCTACCCTTCATTTTCTTAGAAAATAGGCGATTTGCCAATATCAGTCTTCTCTTAGTAGGTACTAGCCCCGCCCACCCACCCGCTTTTTTTTAAAGGATATGTCATTTGCCAAATTCAGTTTTATCTGAGCAGGTAGTAAACCCGCCCACCTGCCCTCTATTTTCTTAGAGGGATCTCATTAGCCAAAATCAGTCTTATCTTAGCAGGTACTAGACCTCTAAGAAAATAAAGAACGCGTGGGCATAACTAGTGCTATAAAGCTGATATTGGCAAATAACATACCCCCTAAAAAAGAAAGGGCGGGTGGGTGGGGCTGATAATTGTCAAAATAAGACTGATTTTCACAAATGTCATACCTTCAAAGAAAATAAAGGGTGGGTGGGCAGGGCCAATACTTGCCGAGATAAGATTGATTTTGCCAAATCATATACTCTCTACCCTTCATTTTCTTAGAAAATAGGTGATTTGCCAATATCAGTCTTCTCTTAGTAGGTACTAGCCCCGCCCACCCACCCGCTTTTTTTTAAAGGATATGTCATCTGCCAAATTCAGTTTATCTTAGCAGGTAGTAACCCCGCCCACCCGCCCTCTATTTTCTAGAGGGATCTCATCAGCCAAAATCAGTCTTATCTTATCAGGTAGGTACTAGCCCTCTAAGAAAATAAAGAACGCGTGGGCATAACTAGTGCTATAAGGCTTATATTGCCAAATAACATACCCCCTAAAAAAAGAAAGGGCGGGTGGGCGGGGCTAATAATTGGCACAATAAGACTGATTTTCACAAATGTCATACTTTCAAAGAAAATAAAGGGTGGGTCGGCGGGGCCAACACTTGCCGAGATAATATTGATTTTGCCAAATGATAAACTCTCTACCCTTCATTTTCTTAGAAAATAGGCCATTTGCCAATATCAGTCTTCTCTTAGTAGGTACTAGCCCCGCCCACCCACCCGCTTTTTTTAAAGGATATATCATTTGCCAAAATCAGTCTTATCTTAGCAGGTACTAGACCTCTAAGAAAATAAAGGGCGGATGGGCGGAGCTAGTGCTTGCCAAGATAAGGCTGATATTGCCAAATAACATACCCTCTAAGAAAAGAAAACTCACCCTTCATTTTCTTGGAAAATGGGTCATTTTCCAATATCAGTCTTATCTTAGCAGGTACTAGCCCCGCCCACCCACCCTCTTTTTTCTTAGAGGATATGTTATTTGCGAAAATCAAGTTTATCTTAGCAGGTACTACTTAGTTAATAGAGAAGGTCGTGTATAAATCAACATAATTAGACAGAAAAAAAATGGGTTAGGAGTTTCTAAAGGATGTTTTAGAGTTGATGACAGTTAGTTGCCGCCATAAAATTTTAAATATGTCGCCAACTTAATAAAATAAAATCATCGTAAATAACGTTTGATTGAAATATTCCCAATTCCTGACTCAAACTCACCCTCGAGAAAGTTTAACGTTAGGACGTAATCACGGTCTGTCTGAGTAATTCACAACAACCTTTTTTCCCCTGTAATAAGAGATGTGTCTACGAACTTGCTGTATGCACAAACTTAATCACTATTATTAAGTAACCTTAATCATAACCGTAATTAATTCCAATTAAGCTTGTTATCCGATTACCTACTGTTTGGGGCTCTGATTTCACGTCATGATCAGATTAGGGAATTTCGTGTCAATTTACTAATAAATGTCATTTCATTGACAACTGCTTGGAGGGGATTGCCTAACGCAAACTACGCAAGTTTCTACTCTACGCACCCTACCCCCACAGTGACTAAACTGTTTGGTTATGTTCGACGTATAATTTTTAACACTTGTTTGATTGTACAGTTGTAAATTTAAAGAAACCACTAGTAGAAGGATGGCGCGGAGCGGGTAAGCCCCAAAAATACACCCTTAGCACAAAAACAGTTTCGTCAACTGTCAACATAACCTCACTTTTTGTACGTTTTGCAGACGCGATAGAAGCCGTTCCCCGGATAGAAAACGCCGTCGGTCTAGGTCACGCAGCAAAGACAGATCGAGGTCTAGCAGATACCGTAGGAGTAGATCGCGGGACAGACGCAGTCGTTCGAAAGACAGGAGAAGCAGATCGCGGGACCGGAGAGACCGCGAACGACGATCTTACAGTCGAGACAGGGACCGCAGACGGTGAGTCTCAACTAAAGTCGCAACTTAAACTAATAATTTTGCGAATAGGGGTGACAGTAAAGAAAAACGGGGGTCAGGCAGCAGCAAGTCGAGACGGAGAGACAGGTCCAGGTCGCGTTCCAGATCGACAGACCGCAAGAAAAACGATGATTCCGGACTGGGATTCGATCCTGCGAATTTGGACAAGGTTAGTCAGTTTTATACTAATGTCAACAAATAATTAATGTTGTTGTAGGAAGAAGAACAGAAGAAACTCGAGCTTGAGATGCAGAAGCGGCGCGAACGTATCGAGAGATGGCGCGCCGAGCGCAAAAAGAAAGAAGCCGAGATGGCGAAAGGGGCCCCCAAGCCGGCGGCGGCGGGCGACGAAGGAACCGCGAAGAAGTGGTCGCTCGAGGACGACGAGGAAGAGGATGAAGATAAAGATAACAAAGGCGAAAAGGAGGAAAGTGTAGAGAAGGTGGAAACTGAGGAGAAGAACGGCGAGGAGCCTCCGCCTGAGGTGGTAGAGGACGAGGTGGATCCGTTGGACGAGTACATGAAGGGCGTCCAGGAGGAAGTGAGGAAGACGCATAAGCTGGATATGAAGAAGCCAAAAACAGACTCTGGGAATAAAAAAGGTGCCTTAGTTATTGTAACGGGAGTGGCAAAATCTAAAGTCAATAAAAATAAGGGCGAGCTGATCGAGCAGAATCAGGACGGGCTGGAGTACTCGTCGGAGGAGGAGATCGAGGATTTGAAGGACACGGCTGCGAGTATTGCGAATAAGCAGAAGAAGGAGCTGGCGAAGATCGATCACAACAACATTATTTATTTGCCGTTTAGGAAGAATTTTTACGTGGAGGTGCCGGAGATCGCGAAGATGACGGACGAGGAGGTGAAGGAGTATAGGGAGGAGTTGGAGGGAATCAGGGTCAAAGGTGGGTTCCTTTAAATTGTGTTTTGATTTTATAAAAAAAATGGTTCAAGGTTATTTCGGGAGGACTCATTTATGATGATCTAATGATAAAAAAAATATTAAACTGTGAAACTGAAAATTTGCAAGTATATAAAATTGAAAATCAAAAAATTACAAAATTGAAAAATTGATTCATTAAAACTGGACAATTGAGAAATCGAAAAATTGTAAAAATATAAAACTGAAAAATCAAAAAATTGCAAAATCACATAAAAAAAAATTTGGCCAATTGTAAAATCGAAAAATTATCAATCTGTAAATCTGAAAAATTGCAGAAATATAAAATTGAATACATGATTTTAAAATCGAAAAATTGAAAACTCAGATTAATGCAAAATAGAAAAATTACAAAATTGAATATCGAAATTTTGAAAAATTAAAAATCGGAACACGAAATTCGGTTATTGAAAAATCAAAAATTGAATAATCGAAAAAGAAATATTTTAAAAACTGAATAATTGAGACGTCCAAAAAATGTAAAAACGTAAAACTGAAAAATCAAAAAAAAGTAAAATCGAAAACTTGGAAAATTAAAATGAGTAATTGTAAACTGAAAAATTGCAAAATTCGTTGAAAACCATACATTTGAGAACTCCAAAGTTATAAAAAAATAAAGATGGGAACTCCAAGAATTATTAAAAAATAAAAATCAAAAATCAAAAAATTTCAAAATTACGAAACTGAAAAATCGTCGAATTTTAAAATTGAAAAGTTGAAAAATCGGACAGTTGTAACATAGAAGGTAACAAAATTGAAAAATGGAATAATTGCGGAATTATAAAATTGAAAAATCAAAAACATGAAAAATTGAAAATAGAAATTTTGAAAAATTAAAAATCAAATACTTGAAAATTTGTAAAATTACAACATTGAAAAATTGAATAATTGCAAAATTATAAATTGAACAATTAAGAAATTGTAAAATTTAATGCAACTGTAAAGTTAAATATCAAAAAAATTCCAAGAAATTGAAAAATTGGTTCATTAAAAACCGGACAGTTGAAAAATCGAAAAATTGTAAAAATAAAACTGAAAAATCAAAATTCCAAAATTACAAAATTGAAAAATTGGATAATTCTAAAATCAAAAAATTATAAAACTGTAAAATCGAAAAATAAAAAACTTGAATAATTGATTCATTCAAAAACTGGACAATTGAGAAAAGAAAAATTGTAAAAATATAAAACTGGAAATCCAAAAAATTGAAAAATCAGATAAATGAAAAATGGAAAAATTACAAAATTGAATATCGACATTTTAAAAAATTTAAAAAAAAATTGGAAATAGGAACAACGAAATTCGGATAATTGAAAAATCAAAAATGGAATACATTGTTGAAAAAACGAAACATTTTAAAAACGAAGAATAATAAAATGGAAAATTGCGAAATTGATTAATAAAATCCGAATAATTGAGACATTCAAAAATTGTAAAAATTAAAATTCAAAAATCAAAAAATTGAAAAATAATTCAGCTGAAAATTCAAACTAAATGTAAATTGGCAAATGTATTACACTGTAAAAATGAAAAATTGCAACATTCATTAAAAACTCTACAATTGGGAACTAAAAAAATTGTAAAAATATAAAACTGAAAAATCAAAAAATTTCAAAATTACGAAACTGAAAAATCGTGTAATTTTAAAATTGAAAAGTTGAAAAATCGAATAATTGTAAAATAGAAAATAACAAAATTTAAAAATAGCATAATTGCAAAAATATAAAACTGAAAAATGAAAAACTTGATAATTTGTAAAATTGAAAAATTGGATAATTGTAAAATCGAAAAATTATTAAACTGTAAAATTAAAAAAATTAAACTTCATTAAGTTGAAAAACCAAAAATTGTAAAATTGGATGCCTAAAATTAAATATTCAAAAAAAGATCTAAAAATTTTGAAATCGAAAATATTCTAAAATTCACAAATCCAAAAAATTGAAAATTCGAGAAATTGAAAAACTGAAAAATTAAAAATGGCAAAATTACAAAATTGAAAATTTGGATAATTGTGAAACTCTAAAAATGAAAAATAAAAACCTCAAAAATCAAAAATTGCATAAGTGTTCCATTAAAAAGTGGACAATTGAGAAAAGAAAATTTCTAAAAAAATAAAACTGGGAATCTAAAAAATTCGAAAAAATTTTGAAATCGAAAAAATTCTAAAATTCAAATACATATCAAACAATTGAAAAATGAAAAATCGAAACATTGCAAATTTACAAAATTGAAAAATTGGGTAATTGTAAAATCAAAAATTAACTAAATTAAAATATCAAAAAATTATAAAATTATAAAATTGAAAAGTCAAAAACTTGAAAAATTGAAAATCGAAATTTTGAAAAATTAGAAACGAAAAATTGGAAAATCGAAACAATGAAATTCGGATAATTAAAAAATTTTAAATTGTAAAATATAAAAGTGAAAAATCACAAAATTAAAAGATTGCATAATTGAAAAATTAAATAATTATTGTAAAATTGAAAATAGAATAATTTTAAAATTAGAAAAACTACAAAATTGCAAATCGAAATTTTGAATAATTAAAAATCAAAAAATTGAATAGTTTAAAAAATGAAACATTTTAAAACGAAGCATTATAAAACTTAAAATTGAGAAATTAATTAATAAAAACCGATTAATTGAGACATTAAAAAATTGTAAAAATGTAAAATTGCAAAATCAAAAATGTGTAAAATCGTAAAGTTGAAAAATTCAGAAAAACGAAAAATTGAAATTGGGTCATTGTAAACTCGAAAATGTATTAAACCGTAAAAATGAAAAATCGAGAAACTGGAAAATCTGAGATTGAAAATTCAAAAATTAAAATACTGATTTATTAAAAACTGAACAACTGAAGTGTAAAAACATAAAACTGAAAAATCAAAAAATTTAAAAATTACGAAGCTATCGTGTAGTTTTAAATTTAAAATTGAAAAGTTGTAAAATAATTAAACTGAAAAACTTGAAAAATTAAAATTGAAATTTTGAAAAATTAAATACATATAAAAAAAATGTAAAAATCGAATAATGGAAAAATCCTAAAACTGAAACATCATTAAGTTAAAAAATTTAGAGATTGAAAAATCTGATGTCTAAAAAATTGAATATTCAAAAAAATCTAAAAATTTTGAAATCGAAAATATTCTAATATTCAAAAATCCAAAAAAATTTAAATTTCAAGAAATTGAGAAATTGATTCATTAAAAACTAAACAGTTAAGAAATCAAAAAATTGTAAAAGCATAAAACTGAACAATCAAAAATATCAAAATTAAAAAATCAAAAAATTGTGAAGCTATAGAACTGAAAAGTCAAAAACTTGAAAAATGAAAAATCGAAATTTTGAAAAATTAAAAACTAAAAAATTAGAAAATCGAAACAACGAAATTCGGATAATTGAAAAATTTAAAATTGAAAAATTAATTCATTAAAAACTGGATAATTGGGGAGTCGAAAAAATTGTAAAATATAAAACTGAAAAATCACAAAATTGCAAAATTACGTAATTGAAATATTGGATAATTATTGTAAAGTTGAAAAATTATTAAACTGTAAATCTGAAAAATTGCAAAAATATAAAATTGAAAATGGAATAATTTTAAAATCGAAAAATAAGATTTATAATTACAAAATTGAAAATCGAAATTCTGAAAAATTAAAAATCAAAAAATTGGAAATCCGAACAACGAAATTCGGATAATTGAAAAATCAAAAATTGAATAGTTAAAAAAATGAAACATTTTAAAAACGAAGAATTATAAAACTGAAAATTGAGAAATTGATTAATAAAAACCAATTAAATTTCAAAAATTGTAAAAAAGTAAAATTGAAAATCAAAAAATTAAAAATTAAATTTGGGTAATTGCAAACTCAAAAATTTATTAAACTATAAAAATGAAAAATCCGGAAACTAGAAAATCTGAGATTGAAAAATCAAAAATTGAACAACTGATTCATTAAAAACGGGACAATTGGAAACTTGAAAATTGTAAATGAAACTGAAAAATCAAAAAATTTCAAAATTACAAAACTGAAAAATCGTGTAATTTTAAGATTGAAAAGTTGAAAAATCTATAAATTCGATATCATAAAATCGAAAAATAACAAAATTGAAAATCGAAAAATTGTAAAATATCTAATTAAACTGAAAAATTAAAAATAAAAAAAATTGCAAAATCGGATAATTGAAAAATTGAATAATTATTGTAAAATTGAAAATAGAATAATTCTAAAATCGGAAAATCAAATAATTGCAAAATAGAAAAATTACAAAATTGAAAATCGAAATTTTGAAAAATTAAAAATCAAAAAATCGAAACATTTTAAAACGAAGAATTATTAAACTAAAAATTGAGAAATTGATTAATAAAAACCGATTAATTGGGACATTCAAAAATTGTAAAAATATAAAATTGTAAAATCAAAAAAGTGTAAAATGTTGAAAAATCGGAAAAACGATAAATTGTAAAATAATCTAATGGAAAATCAAAAATTAAAATTGGGTAATTGTAAACTCGAAAATGTATTAAACTGTAAAAATGAAAAATCAAAAAATTTAGAAATTACGAAATTGTATCGTGTAGTTTTAAATTTAAAATTAAAATGTTGTAAAATAATTAAACTGAAAAATTAAAAACTTCAAAAAATTAAAATTGAAATTTTGAAAAATTAAATACATATGAAAAAAAAAATAAAAATGGAATATTGGAAAAATTCTAAAACTGAAACATCAGTAAGTTAAAAAATTTAGAGATTGAGAAAGCTGAAAATTAAATATTCAAAAAAATCTAAACATTTTGAAATCGAAAATATTCTAAAATTCAAAAATCCAAAAAATTGAAATTTCAAGAAATTGAAAAATTGATTCATTAAAAACTAGACAGTTGAGAAATCAAAAAATTGTAAAAGCATAAAACTGAAAAATCAAAAATGGAAAAATTATAAAATTGAAAAATTGGATAGTTGTAAAATCGAAAAATTGTAACACTGTAAAATTGAAAAACAAAAAACTTCAAAAATCAAAAGTTGCCTAATTGATTCATTGAAAACTGAACAAATGAGAAAAGAAAAATTCTAAAAATATAAAACTGAGAATCCAAAATATTGCCAAATTACGTAATTGAAAAATCTGATGACTAAAATCAAAGATTCAAAAAAACCTAAAAATTTTAAAATCGAAAAAATTCTAAAATTCAGATATCAAATAATTGAAAAATGAAAAATCAAAACAAAATTGTGAAACCATAAAATTGAAAAGTCAAAAACTTGAAAAATTGAAAATCAAAATTTTTAAAAATTAAAAATCAAAAAGTTGGAAAATCGAAACAATGAAATTCGGATAATTGAAAAATTAATTCATTAAAAACTAAACTGAATAACTAATGAATCGAAAAATTGTAAAATATAAAACTTAAAATTCACAAAATTGCAAAATTACATAAGTGAAATAAAAAATAAGATGATTACAAAATTGAAAATCGAAATTTTGAAAAATTAAATATCAAAAAATTGGAAATAGGAACAAGGAAATTCGGATAAGTGAAAAATCAAAACTTGAATAGTTAAAAAAACGAAACATTTTAAAAACGAAGAATTATAGAACACAAAATTGAGAAATTGATTCATAAAAACCGATCAACCGAGACATTCAAAAATTGTAAAAATGTAAAATTGAAAAATCAAAAAAGTGTAAAATCGAATAATTGAAAAATCGGAAAAACGAAAAATTGTAAAATAATTAAATTGAAAATAAAAAAACTAAAAATTAAATTTGGGTAATTGCAAACTCGAATATTTATTAAACTGTAAAAATGAAAAATCGGGAAATTGGAAAATCTGAAATGAAAAATCAAAAATTGAAAAACTAATTCATTAAAAACTGGACAATTGGGAACTCGAAATTGTAAACACATGAAACTGGAAAGTCGTGTAATTTTAAAATTGAAAAGTCGAAAAATCGAAAAATTGTAAAATAATTAAACTGAAAAATCAAAAACTTGAAAAATTAAAATTAGTATTTTGAAAAACTAAAAATAAAAAAATCGAAGAATGGTAAGATCCTAAAACTGAAACATCATTAAGTTAAAAAATTAAGAGATTGGAAAATCTGACTGTAAAATCAAAAATCTATAAAAATTTCGAACCAAAAAAATTCTAAAATTTATAAACTGAAAAATCGAGGACCTTGAAAGTCTGATAATTGAAAAATTGATTAAATAAAAATCGGACAATTGAGAAATCCAAAAAAGTATAAAAACCTAAAACTGAAAAAATTGCAAAATTATACAGTTTGACAACAATCGGTCCAATAGTTTCGGAGATCATCTGTCTCATAAAAAATTGTTTCTATGCTTTCTTAGCTTATACTCAGGAAGTAAAAAAGTCAGTATACTATTAGAAAATTAGTACTTTTCTAATAAAATTGGCTCTTATGCTAAGTGGGTATATAGACCACCATAGTATCTCATTACAATAGTGTAAAAAAAGTCCAGTATCAAAATTACTAAGACCATTGTTTTTTTGCAGGCAAAGGCTGTCCCAAACCCATCAAAACGTGGGCACAATGCGGCGTCTCCACCAAAGAACTCAACGTCCTCAAAAAACTAGGTTTCGAAAAACCCACCCCCATCCAAGTCCAGGCCATTCCTGCCATCATGTCAGGCAAAGATCTAATAGGGATCGCCAAAACCGGCAGCGGGAAAACCCTAGCTTTCGTCTTACCCATGTTCCGCCACATCTTAGCCCAGCCACCCCTGGAGGAAACCGACGGCCCCATCGCCATAATAATGACCCCAACCCGCGAACTGTGCATGCAGATAGGCAAAGACATCAAGAAGTTCACCAAGGGTTTGAACCTCCGCGCTGTCTGCGTCTACGGCGGCACCGGGATCTCCGAACAAATCGCCGAGCTGAAGCGCGGCGCCGAAATCATAGTATGCACCCCAGGTCGGATGATCGACATGCTGGCCGCCAACAGCGGAAAAGTCACCAACCTCCGCCGCGTCACCTACATCGTCCTCGACGAAGCCGACCGCATGTTCGACATGGGCTTCGAGCCCCAGGTCATGCGCATCATCGACAACGTCCGCCCAGATAGACAGACCGTGATGTTCAGCGCCACGTTCCCGCGCCAGATGGAGGCTCTCGCGCGCCGCATCCTGCAGAGACCCATCGAGGTCCAGGTGGGCGGGCGGTCCGTGGTGTGCAAGGACGTGGAGCAGCACGTGGTCATCCTCGAAGAGGACCTCAAGTTCCTGAAACTGTTGGAACTGCTAGGGTTGTACCAGGAGCGCGGGAGCATCATCGTGTTCGTGGACAAGCAAGAGAACGCCGATATTTTGTTGAAGGAGCTGATGAAGGCGGCGTATAATTGTTTGAGTTTGCACGGGGGTATCGATCAGTTCGATCGGGACTCCACGATTATAGACTTCAAGTCGGGGAAGGTGAAGCTGCTGATTGCGACGTCGGTGGCGGCGCGGGGGTTGGACGTGAAGCACTTGATTCTGGTGGTGAACTACGACTGTCCGAATCACTACGAGGATTACGTCCATAGGTGCGGGAGGACGGGGCGGGCGGGGAATAAGGGGTTTGCGTACACGTTTATCACGCCGGAGCAGTCGAGGTACTCCGGGGACATCATTAAGGCGTTCGAGTTGGCGACGGTGACGGTGCCGGAGCCGCTGAGGGCCCTGTGGGATACGTATAAGGCGAAGCAGGAGGCAGAAGGTAAGGGTTAAACTCGCCTTGAGTTATACAGGGTTGCTAAAAAGTATGGAAGCAGTTGAATGTCTGGGAACGGTTAGTTTTAGATAATAAGCGGAAGCCGAAGCAATAAAAAAGTCTGGGCGACCATCGGTATTGTTTGCAGTTTCTCTATTTCACTCTCTCGTATAGCTCAACAAGTGTTATCGCTTGTTGTCTTAAATTAAGAAAGCTTATACTGTCTAAACCCCTTAGACCATTTTTTTTATTAGAACAGATCATTTTTCAAAAAAATTTCGTTTCTTTGAAAAATTATAAAAATTATAAAGAACCAGAAGGAACACTCCCGCAGCTTTTTTTACTTAAATTTTTCGTTTTTTCTTTTTTTTGCTTTGGATTTTAGATTTGCAATTTTTTGAGTTTTTAAGTTTAAATTCTTCAATGTTTTGATTTCTCGATTTTTCAATTAATTTTTCATGTCTTCAATTTTTCGATTAACAATTTTTTGTTTGGGTTTTTTTCTTTACTTTTCGGTTTTTCAATGTTCTCTTTTTTTACTTGTGAAAATTTTCAATTTTTAGTTTATTTTTTCGTTTCTTCAACTTTTGACCTGCAATTTTTCTAGTTTTCGTTTTAAATTTGTAATAATAATTACAATTTTTAAAATATTTCAATTTTATGATTTTAGAATTTTTCCACTTTTCATGTACTCGATTTTTCGATTTTTAATTTTTTAATTTTTCGATCTTCCAGTTTTTCGATTGGATTCGTTTTTTCTTCTTTCCAATTTTTCGTTTTAAAGTTTCTCGATTTTTAGTTTTCATTGTTTCAATTTTTTTCTTTAATATCATTTGAATTAAAGAAAATGGAAAAAATTCAAAATTGTACAACTGAAAAATTAAAAATAGAAAAACGAAAATTTACACATTTTTTTGTTCTTTCAATTTCTAGTTTTTGCAGTTTTTCGGTTTAAAATTTGTGGAGTTGTCAGTTTTTAATTTTTCATTTTTCGGTTCTTTAATTTATTATTTTAGTTCTTTTATCTCTGTATGTTTACAATTTTTCGATGTTCCGATTTTATAATTTTTCCATTTTTCAATTATTGGATTTTAGAACTTTTTCATTTACTCGATTTTTCAATTTTCGATTTTTCGATCTTCCAGTGCTGCAGTTTATCGATTGGATTCGTTTTTTCTTCTTTCCAATTTTTCGATTCATTAACTTTTTTTGATTTTAAAGTTTTTCGATTTTTGGTTTTCAAAGTTTCAGTTTTTCGATTCTTTAGTCGTTCGATTTGCAAATTTCGATTTTTCAGCTTTTCAAATAAAAAAGTGGAAAAACTGAAAAATTGTAAAATTGAAAAATCAAAAGTGAAAAAACGAACATTTACACATTTTTTAGTTTTTCATTTTAGTTCTTTTATCTCTTTATCTTTACAATTTTTCGATGTTCCGATTTTATAATTTCTTGTTTTTTCAATCTTAATTTTTTCTATTTTTCGTTTCTTCAATTTTTATATTTGCAATTTTTCGTTTCGGTTTTTTTATTTTTGAATTTTTCGATTTTTAGATGTTGTGATTTTATGATTTTTCTTTTTTCAATTTTTGACTTGTTAATTTTTTGTTTCTTCGATTTTTAACCTTCGATTTTTGTAATTTTCATTTTAAATATGTAATAATAATTGCAAATTTTAAAATATTTCAATTTTATGTTTTTATAATTTTTCCATTTTTCAATTATTGGATTTTAGAACTTTTTCATTGACTCAATTTTTCAATTTTCGATTTTTAATTTTTCGATTTTTCCATCTTCCAGTGCTACAGTTTTTCGATTGGATTCGTTTTTTCTTCTTTCCAATTTTTCGATTCATTAACTTTTTTTGATTTTAAAGTTTCTCGATTCTGAGTTTTCAATGTTTCAATTTTTCGTTTCTTTAATTGTTCGATTTGCAAATTTCGATTTTTCAGCTTTTTCAATAAAAAAAATGCAAAATTGTAAAATTGAAAAATCAAAAATGAAAAAACGAAAATTTACATATTTTTTAGTTTTTCATTTTAGTTCTTTTATCTCTTTATGTTTACAATTTTTCGATGTTTCGATTTTATAATTTCCTGTTTTTTCAATCTTGATTTTTGCTATTTTTCGTTTCTTCAATTTTTAGATTTGCAATTTTTCGTTTCGGTTTTTTATTTTTGAATTTTTCGGTTTTTAAATGTTGTGATTTTATAATTTTTCTTTTTTCAATGTGAAATTTTTCAATTTTTGACTTGTTAATTTTTTGTTTCTTCGATTTTTAACCTGCGATTTTTCTAATTTTTAAAATATTTCAATTTTATGATTTTATAATTTTTCCATTTTTCCATTTTTCAATTTTCGATTTTTAATTTTTTCATTTTTCGATCTTCCGGTGCAGCAGTTTTTCGATTGGATTCGTCTTTTCTTCTTTTCAATTTTTCGATTCATTAACTTTTTTTGATTTTAAAGTTTCTCGATTTTCAGTTTTCAATGTTTCAGTTTTTCGTTTCTTTAGTTGTTCGATTTGCAAATTTCGATTTTTCAGCTTTTTAAAAACAAAACAAATGGAAAAAATGCAAAATTGTAAAATTGAAAAAATATAAATTGAAAAACGAAAATTTACACATTTTTTAGTTTTTCACTAGTTCTTTTATCTCTTTATGTTTACAATTTTTTTTAGATGTTGTGATTTTATAATTTTTCTTTTTTCAATGTGAAATTTTTCAATTTTTGACTTGTTAATTTTTTGTTTCTTCAGTTTTTAACCTACGATTTTTCCAATTTTCATTTTAAATACGTAATAATAAATAATAATAATAATTTGAAATATGTATTTTAAAAATTGTAATTATAAGTTTTAAAATACATATTTCAAATTTATGATTTTATAATTTTTCCATTTTTCAATTAAAAATCAAAAATGAAAAAACGAAAATTTACTAATTTTTTAGTTTTTCATTTTAGTTCTTTTATCTCTTTATGTTTACAATTTTTCGATGTTCCGATTTTATAATTTCTTGTTTTTTAAATCTTAATTTTTTCTGTTTTTCGTTTCTTCAATTTTTAGATTTGCAATTTTTCGATTCGGTTTTTTTATTTTTGAATTTTTCGGTGTTTAGATGTGATTTTATAATTTTTCTTTTTTCAATGTGAAATTTTTCAATTTTTACTTGTTAATTTTTTGTTTCTTCAATTTTTAACCTGCGATTTTTCTAATTTTCATTTTAAATACGTAATAATAATTGCAATTTTTAAAATATTTCAGTTTAATGATTTTATAATTTTGCCATCTTTCAATTATTGGATTTTAGAACTTTTTCATTTACTCGATTTTTCAATTTTCGATTTTTAATTTTTCGATTTTTCGATCTTCCGGTGCTGCAGTTTTTCGATTGGATTCATTTTTTCTTCTTTCCAATTTTTCGATTCATTAACTTTTTTTATTTTAAAGTTTCTCGATTTTTAGTTTTCAATGTTTCAGTTTTTCGTTTCTTTAGTTGTTCGATTTGCAAATTTCGATTTTTCAGATTTTTAAATAAAACAAAAAAAGTGAAAAAATGCAAAATTGCAAAATCGAAAAATCAAAAGTGAAAAAACGAAAATTTACACATTTTTTAGTTTTTCATTTTAGTTCTTTTATCTCTTTATGTTTACAATTTTTCGATGTTTCGATTTTATAATTTCTTGTTTTTTCAATCTTAATTTTTTCTATTTTTCGTTTCTTCAATTTTCAGATTTGCAATTTTTCGTTTCGGTTTTTTGATTATTGAATTTTTCGGTTTTTAGATGTTGTGATTTTATAATTTTTTTTTTTCAATGTGAAATTTTTCAATTATTGACTTGTTAATTTTTTTTTCTTCAATTTTTAACCTGCGATTTTTCTAATTTTCATTTTAAATACGTAATAATAATTGCAATTTTTAAAATATTTCAATTTTACGATTTTATAATTTTTCCATTTTTCAATTATTGGATTTTAGAACTTTTTCATTTACTCAATTTTTCAATTTTCGATTTTTAATTTTTCGATTTTTCGATCTTCCAGTGCTACAGTTTTTCGATTCGATTCGTTTATTCTTCTTTCCAATTTTTCGATTCATTAACTTTTTTTGATTTTAAAGTTTCTCGATTTTTACTTTTCAATGTTTCAGTTTTTCGTTTCTTTAGTTGTTCGATTTGCAAATTTCGATTTTTCAGCTTTTTAAATAAAAAAAATGGAAAAAATGCAAAATTGTAAAATTGAAAAATCAAAAATGAAAAAACGAAAATTTTCACATTTTTTAGTTTTTGATTTTAGTCCTTTTATCTCTTTATGTTTACAATTTTTCGATGTCCCGATTTTATAATTTCTTGTTTTTTCAATCTTAATTTTTTTCTATTTTTCGTTTCTTCAATTTTTAGATTTGCAATTTTCCGTTTCGGTTTTTTTATTTTTGAATTTTTCGGGTTTTAGATGTTGTGATTTTATAATTTTTCTTTTTTCAATGTGAAATTTTTCAATTTTTGACTTGTTAATTTTTTGTTTCTTCAATTTTTAACCTGAGATTTTTCAAATTTTCATTTTAAATACGTAATAATAATTGCAATTTTTAAAATATATCAATTTTATGATATTATAATTTTTCCATTTTTCAATTATTGGATTTTAGAACTTTTTCATTTACTGGATTTTTCAATTTTCGATTTTAAATTTTTCGATTTTTCGATCTTCCGGTGCTGCAGTTTTTCGATTGGACTCGTTTTTTCTTCTTTCCAATTTTTCGATTCATTAACTTTTTTTGATTTTAAAATTTCTCGATTTTTAGTTTTCAATGGTTCAGTTTTTCGTTTGTTTGGTTGTTCGATTTGCAGATTTCGATTTTTCAGCTTTTTAAATAAAAAAAAAAAATGGAAAAAATTCAAAATTGTAAAATTGAAAAATCAAAAATGAAAAAAACGAAAATTTACACATTTTTTAGTTTTTCATTTTAGTTCTTTTATCTCTTTATGTTTACAATTTGTCGATGTTCCGATTTTATAATTTCTTGTTTTTTCAGTCTTAATTTTTGCTATTTTTCGTTTCTTCAATTTTTAGATGTGCAATTTTTCGTTTCGGTTTTTTATTTTTGAATTTTTCGGTTTTTAGATGTTGTGATTTTAAAATTTTTCGTTTTTCAATGTGAAATTTTTCAATTTTTGACTTGTTAATTTTTTGTTTCTTCAATTTTTAACCTGCGATTTTTCTAATTTTCATTTTAAATATGTAATAATAATTGCAATTTTTAAAATATTTCAATTTTATGATTTTATAATTTTTCCATTTTTCAATTATTGGATTTTAGAACATTTTCTTTTACTCGATTTTTAGTTTTCAATGTTTCAGTTTTTCGTTTCTTTAGTTGTTCGATTTGCAAATTTCGATTTTTCAGATTTTAAAATAAAAAAAATGGAAAAAAATGCAAAATTGTAAAATCGAAAAATCAAAAACGAAAAAACGAAAATTTACACATTTTTTAGTTTTTCATTTTAGTTCTTTCATTTCTTTATGTTTACAATTTTCCGATGTTCCGATTTTATAATTTCGTGTTTTTTCAATCTTGATTTTTGCTATTTTTAGTTTCTTCAATTTTTAGTTTTGCAATTTTTCGTTTCGGTTTTTTTATTTTTGAATTTTTCGGTTTTTAGATTTTCTGATTTTATAATTTTTCTGTTTTCAATGTGAAATTTTTCAATTTTTGACTTGTTAATTTTTTATTTCTTCAATTTTTAACCTACAATTTTTCTAATTTTTATTTTAAGTACGTAATAATAATTGCAATTTTTAAAATATTTCAATTTTATGATTTTATAATTTTTCCATTTTTCAATTATTGAATATTAAAATTTTTTCATTTACTCGATTTTTCAATTTTCGATTTTTAATTTTTCGATTTTTCGATCTTCCGGTGCTGCAGTTTTTTGATTGGATTCGTTTTTTCTTCTTTCCAATTTTTCGATTCTTTAACTTTTTTTGATTTTAAAGTTTCTCGATTTTTAGTTTTCAATGTTTCAGTTTTTCGTTTCTTTAGTTGTTCGTTTTGTAAATTTCTATTTTTCAGCTTTTTAAATAAAAAAAAATGGAAAAAATGCAAAATTGTAAATTCAAAAGTGAAAAAACGGAACTTTACACATTTTTTAGTTTTTCATTTTAGTTCTTTTATCTCTTTATGTTTACAATTTTTCGATGTTTCGATTTTATAATTTCTTGTTTTTTCAATCTTCATTTTTTCTATTTTTCGTTTCTTCAATTTTTAGATTTGCAATTTTCCGTTTCGGTTTTTTTATTTTTGAATTTTTCGGGTTTTAGATGTTGTGATTTTATAATTTTTCTTTTTTCAATGTGAAATTTTTCAATTTTTGACTTGTTAATTTTTTGTTTCTTCAATTTTTAACCTGCGATTTTTCTAATTTTCATTTTAAATGCCTAATAATAATTGCAATTTAAAAAATATTTCAATTTTATGATTTCATATTTTTTCCATTTTTCAATTATTGGATTTTAGAACTTTTTCTTTTACTCGATTTTTCAATTTTCGATTTTTAATTTTTAATTTAAATCAATCTTTATTTCAGTTTATGTACCCTCAGTGCTATAATTTTTTACATTTTTTAAATCAGTCTTATCTTACTAAGTACTAGCCCCGCCCACCCACCCCCTATTTTCTCAGAGGATATATCATTTGCCAAAATAAGACTTATGTTAGCAAGTACAAGGCTCGCCCACCCGCTCTTTATTTTCTCAGAAGTTAGTAAGATAGGTCTGATTTTGGCAAATGATATGTCCTCTGAGAAAACAGGGGCGGGTGGGCGGGGCTAGTACTTGGTGAGATAAGACTTATTTTGGCAAATGACATAAACTCTGAGAAAATAGGGGGCGGGTGGGCGGGGCACAATAGTAAGTTGGTAAGCGAAAAAAGATAAGCCGCTCTGTAGCCTAGTGGTCAAGGCACCGGCCCGGCAAGTGGGAGGTGTGTGGTTCGATTCCCACCGGGGCAGCAACATTTTTCTTCGCCTACCTACACACTTTTTACTAAAAGACTTATACCAGTTCCTTCTTAACCCATCCACATTTACAATATTTTTAGTCATGGTGTAACATATTTAAAACCTAAATACTAACTTTTAAGTAACTGATCACCAGGGAGCAGCACTTCTCGGGTCTTTCGAATGGACTTTCCTAAAATACTTAAAATAATGTGGCTTATCTTTTAAACTTTGATACATTAACCAACACCGGGTTTATTTTTGCAGGCAAGAAGGTCCACACCGGTGGCGGCTTCAGCGGCAAGGGCTTCAAATTCGACGAGAACGAAGCGGCGGCTGTCAACGAGCGCAAGAAGTTCCAAAAAGCTGCCCTAGGTCTGGCAGACTCCGACGACGAAGACCTGGAGCACGACATCGACCAACAAATCGAGAGTATGTTTGCTACGAAACGAACAGTAAAAGAAATCAAAGCTCCTCTAGGTACATTTTCCACTTGTGTCACACTCGTGGAGTTATATTTTTTTTACTTCTTAGGGCTTATTAATCCAGCCGCCATGGGTAACACCCACACCGCAATCGATAAACTGGAACTGGCGAAAAGGTTAGCTTCTCGCATCAACTTCTCCAAGAACATAAGTTTGGATACGAAGTTCGCCACGCAACAAGCTGCCGAGTCGATCTTGAAGGGTAGCAGTAGCACGTTGGCCATCACCGCCAAGACGGTGGCTGAACAATTGGCGGCGAAGTTGAACACGAAGTTGAATTATCAGCCGAAGGACGACGACGAAAGGGACGACATTGATAATGAGCAGACCTTCAGGAAGTATGAAGAGGAGTTGGAGATTAATGACTTCCCGCAGCAGGCGAGGTGGCGCGTCACGTCTAAAGTGCGTATATTAATTAATTACCTGAAAGTTACCACATTTCTTAAATTATTGTTGTTTTTGTTCACAGGAAGCCTTGGCACAAATTTCGGAATATTCAGAGGCTGGGATTACGGTCAGAGGGACGTACGTCCAGCCGGGGAAGTCGCCCCCAGAAGGAGAGCGGAAGTTGTATCTGGCGATCGAAAGTACGTCGGACATCGCCGTGGCTAAAGCCAAAGCGGAGATCACGCGGTTAATTAAAGAAGAGTTGCTGAAATTGCAAACGGCGGGTCACCATACGTTTAACAAAGCTAGATATAAGGTGGTGTAAAGTTTATAAAGTGTTTCAATTAAAAGTTTTAACGTTTCGTCACATTATATAATCAATCAATTTTTATCCAAGTGTATGATAGTACGAGTCCTGAAGGAGTGTATTATTTAAGGCAGATATTTATTAGAAAAATAAAACTTTTTTAATCATGGTGTGGTTTGATTTCGACGTGGTTGCATTGAGATTATCCAAGTCATTTTTTGCCATGAATGTTCACAAAGTTATATGTTCAAATTTGGCGGGTTTGGCTTTTTGGTACATTCGAATTTTTTCCTCCTGTTTCCATATTTTTTGTTACGCCACTGAATTAAGCTCAACAAAACACTTTTACAAACGGTGATTCCGTGCCCGAATGGAAGATATATTTGGTTCATACATTGTTTTAATGTGTAATTCAATCAAACGTATAATTGGTTGCATACACATGTTTATTAATACAGTACACTTTGTTAAGTTGTCAGCCGTGTAAGGGTCATCAAACACTCATTATTAAAGTTGACAGATGAATTTTAAACTTTGCAGGCATGAATTATTCCCCATTACTGTTTTTTTTTGTTTTTGGCCGCCTGACATCAAAACTGATAACTGTAAACTGAGATTGCTAATAATTCAGAATTGCCAACCCAAAAATTTGCTTCAATCATTCTCAGCACAGTTCTTAGACATTCGGTATGTAAAGTCATTTACTAAAATAACATTCCTACCAACAATTTGTTGACGTGATCTCCAAAATTTACAATAGTAATAAATATCATTTAAATTTTATAAAATAAGACATCTAGATTTTTTTGAAAAAAAACATCAAAATTGCATTTCTAAAATGGGAATGGGGAGGAATAGATTGTAGGCTGTTAATAAATAAAAAAGCTCTAATCGTAATATTTTTGTTATACTATTTGCTATAAAATTTATTTTTTCCATCAAAAGAAAAAAATAGTGAATGGGTGGGTGGGCGGGGCCAAGTTTAACTTTTTGCTACAGAATTTTTATAAACAAACAATAGCCCCGCCTCCCAGTTTTTGTTTTCTTCGAGGGTATGTCATTTGCTCCAGTCAGTCTCATGTTAACAAGAACTAAATATTGGAGATGTTTTAAAGTTACCATAAGCATGGTAAATTTTTGATCAAAATGTATTTGCTCATCCCCCCTAAAAAATCGATGACGTCACCGCAAAGTGTTGCTGAATAAATTCCATCTTAAATGTGCAAAGTATGATGAGTGTATACTTGTGATCTAACACTGCATTAATATTTTTTAGATTTGCTTTTACGGGGTGTCTAAAAAAAATTAATGACTGAGTCAATTTGTTTTATTGATTAAATCAAGAATTGCAAAACTGAATATGTACTTTGAAATCTTGACGTGAAGTTATTGTATGTATTTTAAGTTTTTAATCAAAATGTAGGGGAAAAGTGCCTAAAATGATCCCCATCAATTGTAAGAAAATTTGTGGCTCCATCTACCAAACATAACTGTCATCTGATTAAGCGTTCTGTAATTAGTACCTTCTGAAAGTTTGATGGCGTTCTGTGTATTCTGCACAGTTTTGTGCCAAAATATGTAAAATAAGCACCTCTGATCTAAGGTAAGATATATTTTAAAAGTCCATTACTTCCATTTGAAAGGTCTTATAGCGGTGGTAGTTGTTTTGACAGAATTAGATACATTTCAGTCGTAGGTTAGTTATGATCTTTTTACCGCATGTAAAAATTGAAGGTTAGTTTACAATTTTTGAATGCGGATATGCTACCTAAGGCGAAATGATCCCTTTTTCTTGAGGCAAAATGATCCCGGATCATTGGGCGGGGCTAGTACCTGCTAAGATAGACTGATTTTTGCAAATCATATACCCTCTAAGAAAAGAGAGGGTGGGTGGGCGGGGCTAGTACCTGCTAAGATAAGACTGATTTTTGCAGATAACATATCCTCTAACCCCGCCCACCTACTCTTTATTTTCTTTGAGGGAATACCATTTGCCAATATCAGTTTTATCTTAGCAAGTACTAACCCCACCCACCCGCCCGTTATTTTCTTAGAATGTATGTTATTTGCCAATATCAGCCTTATCTTGCCAAGCACTAGCTCGGCCCATCCGCCCTTTATCTTGTTAGAGGGCTAGTACCTAATAAGATAAGACTGATTTTCGCAAATGACATATCCTCCAAGAAAAGAGAGGCTGGGTGGGCGGGGCTACTACCTGCTAAGATAAGACTGATTTTTGCAGATGACATATCCTCTAACCCCGCCCACCCACCCTTTAGTTTCTTCGAGGGAATACCATTTGCCAATACCAGTTTTATCTTAGCAGTTACTAGCCCCACCCACCTACTACCTGCTAAAATAAAACTGATTTTCGTAAATGAAATACCCTCTAAGAGAGGAGAGGGAGGGTGGGTGGAGCTAGTACCTCTTAAAACGGGGAAATTTAAATAATTTAAAAGAATTTTAGGGATTTTCGTGTTCTATTTTTGGGAAATTCTCAGTCTTAAGAGGTACTAATCCCAGTCACCCGCCGTCACTTTTCTTAAAAGGTATCTCATTTGCCAAAATCAGTTTTATATTAGCAAGTATTAGCCCCACCCACCCACCCTGTCTTTTCTTAGAGGGTATATCATTTGCCAAATTCAGTTTTATCTTAGCAGTTAGTAGACCCGCCCACCCGCCCTCTCTTTTTTTAAAGGCTATATCATTTGCCAAATTCAGTCTTATCTTAGCACTTACTAACCCCACCCACCCACCCTCTTTTTTCTTAGAGTGTATGTCATTTGCCAAATTCAGTTTTATCTTAGCAGTTACTAGTAAAAAATTGATTACGTTATATAAAAATGTTGCCGAATAAATTCTTTCGAAAATGTGCAAAATATGATCAGATTATACTTGCAACTTATCACTGCATTCATATTTTTTAGATTTGCTTATACAGGATGACCAAAAAAAAAGAATCAGTCAATTTATTAAAGAAGGCGAAACCAGAAGTGAGGGAAGTTCTGTCGAAATAGCTTCCGACCAATTTTTTTGTTTTTAGCCGCCCGACATCAAAATTGATAACTGTAAACTGAGATGTTAACATTGCTGCTAATAATTCAGAATTGCCAACCCAAAAATTTGCTTCAATTAGACATTCTGTATGTAAAGTCATTTACTAAAATAACGTCACACTACAAACTACAAAAGTCTTTTAGTGGTGGTTAGACATAGTAGAATTCTTTTAATTTTGGCAAAGTGTTGTCAACTATGACATTGGCAAATCATCCCTACCAACAATTTGTTGACGTCATCTCCAAAATTTGCAATAGTAAATATTATTTAAATTTTATAAAATAAGATACTCCTATACATGTGGTTTACAAGTCCCTGTTGAGTTTTTATCGTAGACATCCAGATTTTTTGAGAAAAAAAAAATTGCATTTTCACAATGAGAATGGAAAGGAATAGAATGTAGATTGTTAAAAAATAAAAAAAAGCTGTAATCGTAATATTTTTGTTATACTATTAGCTATAATATTTATTTCTTCTTTCAGAAAAAAAAAAATAGAGAATGAGAGGGTGGGCGGGGCTAAGTTTAACTTTTTGCTACACAATTCTTTATAAACAAACAATAGCCCCGCCTCCCAGCCTTTATTTTCTTAGAGGGTATGTCATTTGCTACAGTCAGTCTCATGTTAACAAGAACTAGCTAAGATAGGACTAATTTTGACAAATAACATGCCTTCTAAGAAAATAGAGGGCGGGTGGGTGGGGATTAGAACTTACTAAGATAAGACTATAGTTATTCAGTCTGATCTTAGCAAATACTAGCCCCGCCCACCCACCCTCTATTTTCTTAGTGAATATGTTATTTGCCAAAATCAGTCTTATCTTCGCAAGTATTAACCCCACCCACCCGCCCTCTGTTTTCTTAGAGGGTATGTCTGGACTGGTAAAACAAATTTTAATATTTTATGTTCTGTTTTTTGTCGTATATTTGTTCAAATTTTGCTTTCGGAGGATAATCTAAGCAAATATTAATAGTTATGTAGTGTATCTTCTAGCTCATTTGGACCTCATTTGATCTGATCTAGAAGCGGCACTACTTTTTGTAGTGAGCTCACTGACCTATCGAAGATCCCCATAATTTTCTGTCGACCAATTTGTCTGTCTTAATTTTTTGTCCAGCAATTTGACTGTTTGGTCGACAAAAAAAAAAGGAAGTCCTAGGACAGGTCGATGAAAAAGTAGTGTCGCTTCTGGCTCAGGCCAAATGAGGTCACAGTGGGTCAGAAACTGCACTATATAACTAGTACGTATTGTATTAGGGTACGAAAATAGAGGTCTTCTCCTTTTGTATCGATGTTTATTCGACAGATAATTTCCAAAACTGCTGTATCGATTGTTGTTAAATTTAGACGAAGACTAGAAATGTCGTGTAGATGGTAAAGTGCTACCCAAAATTTGTTTAGTCATCCCCAATAACACTTTGATGACGTCACCGCAAAACTATGCACAGTACTTGTTGTTGAAATTTTAAAAAATAGAGTAGTCCTATCTGTGTTTATGGTTTATGAATCTGTCTTTACTTTTTCTTTATACGGTTTTTTTTTTTGCTTACATTGTAACTGGTATTATCTCGATTTTTAACTTGTAGGGTTTTGTATTATAGAGATTATATGAATCTGAAAATGCCATTCACTTTGAGGAATATTAAAAGAACTCTACATAAACATTAGACATATTTATACAGATAATGATAATGAATGAGCAAAAGAATTCTTGATCGTAGTTGGGTGTGTCTCAGAAAACATATGTCGGTACATTTACACTGTTACCCTATTTCTCCTGGGTTGTCAAAAATTTGAATTCAAACGTCAAGACTTTGACAACTTCAATTATAGAGACTACAGTTTAGTTTCCGGAGCCTCCTGCGATCAGAAATTAAATTGCTCACTCGTTATAAGAAAGAATGAGAATTTCGCTAAAAAGTTTGCACAAAAATTCTTTACATCGAGGAATCGTAAATTTGGCAACGTTCATATTTAGATCATTTTCTAACTAAAAGTTGTTCACTATCAACCGTAAGCTGTTATCAGTTGCTAAATTTAAGCAAAATGAACACTTGATTTTAAATAGAAATGCCAAAGATAGTATCAGCTTTGTATTAAAGATTTAAAATTATTTTTGTAGATAAATCATTGTTAAACCATTGTATTCATCGATAAGATTTTGATTTTGATAAAAAGATTCGGTTGTGAAAAGTAGCTCTCGAAGGTAATATTTAGTTGTGTAGTTGATTTAAAGTGTTGGGTAACGAAGAGAATAAGGTTTTAATTATGAGTGAAAACAAACAAATGAAAGAAGAAAAAAAAATACGGACAAAATTGTATACAGCGGTTCTTAACGGAAACGTAGCTAATCTAAAAAAGTTACTTACAAGTGATAAAATCAATTACAAGGAGCATATTAATGACCTATACGAAGAGGATAGAGTGGAAAAAAGTCTTTTATACATAGCCTCAGAAAAACGTGACATACAATGTTTAACTGAACTGATTAAACATGGCGCAGATTTAAATATAACTAGTTCTAATAAGAAAACTCCACTCTATATCGCTGCAGAAAAAGGTGGCATACAATGTTTAACTGAACTGATTAAACATGGCGCAGACTTAAATATAACTAGTTCTAATAAGAAAACTCCACTCTACATCGCTGCAGAAAAAGGAAATAAAGAGTGCCTTATTCTATTACTTGACAAAGGTGCAGATAAAGACAAAGGAGGCCCATATGAGGCTACTCCAGCTTTTATAGCAGCTTTGAAAAAACACCAAAATTGTCTGACTGAATTAATCAAGAGAGGGGCACCAGTAAAAAGACGTGACACCATTTTCGAAATAGAGGGCACTGTGGCCAATGATTTGCACAAAGCAATTGATTCAGGTGATGCTGAGAATCTAAAAAGTCTTATTAATGATAATGACTTGTCAGAAATAATCAATAAGAGAGATGCAACAGGCAAAACTGTTTTCCATCTCGCAGTAGAGAAAAATCGAAAACAGTGCCTAGATTTGTTGATAGAATCCGTCCCAGACGAAAAAAAACCCACAGTTATTGACAAACCTAACGTTTATGGTTATACTCCACTTTATATTGCGGCCATAGTGAAGAATGATTGTTTCGCCTTGTTGAAAGAAAATGTTGCCAATTTTAGCAAAACTTTGTACTCAGCTGCTTTAGAAGGACAAAAAGAGTGTTTGCAAAATTTTATTCAAGAAGATATCAACTTTGGATATAAAGCGTACAAGCGTTGTTCTAAAACGGATGCTCAAGCCAATGGTGAAAATAACTCAAATCGTAGCGGTCCCGGTGAAGATGAAGCACGAACACGTTTAATGGAAGATCACTCTACCGATGCAAGCGAAACACGGTGTTTCAAATGTTACATTAAAGAAGATGACTTAAAATGTACCGACTACGACGAAGGCGAAACACAGTGCTTAAAATGTTTCATTGAAGAAGATGGAGATTGTTTAGTTCATGAACATGATGATCCCTGTTCCAATAGTCTAATAGAGGAAATTTTTGCCCATGTTAATGAACCGGTTAATTTTATAAACCATGTATTTGATTCCACCTCAGTGGATATTGAGAAGTCAAAAATGAATAAAGAGAAAATTTACAGAGTGGGTGAGTAGGTTCGTTTTATTTTTTCTATTTTCGTACGAAAAATGGAATAGAGTGTTTAACAGAGATGCTGGTCTTTTCCCCTTTAAACTGGTGCAAGCTTTACAATTAATTTTACTCTTAATTTAGCTTAATTAGTTTCAGTCGTTAAAGATACTAAAACTCAAAGAGCTGTATAAGATTTGTGTTTTTTTTTTCTAGATTTTAAAATGTTCCTGCCTAAGAGAGGCACAGATCGCGGCCAAATGCACGTTTTTGCTTGTTTATTGAAGGCAATGAATAATGAAGAAGAAATTATTGTTCTGAATAACATTTTCTGTCGTAAGTGACAAATCAGAATTTACTGCTTATTTTCTACTAGTTTGTATTTATTTTAGAAATATTTTTGGAAGCAAAACTGAAAACTAGAACCTTGTTCTGGATATTGCTCTTTAGACTTTTTATCTGGTATGCATACTTTGCCTGTGTAGTTTTGTATACTGCTGTTGTGCTAAACATTTTTGAATTCGCTTCAGTTCATTTAATACTGATAAGCACCATGGGAATATTTCTGCTAATACGATTCTTACTGCAAATAAATCAGGTAATTTTTTGTTGTTGTTTTAAGTTTAGTGTCAGTAGTTATATAGTGGGGCTTCTGCTCGCTTTTTGGGTTCCAAATCCATGGCGAGCATAGACTACTCCTACAACAGCAACAAAACTGTTCCTAAATCTACCACTCAATAGAGGGCGACAAAAAACCGTAATTCAAAAAACTATTATGTAATCCTGTTGCAGATACTTCTCCTTCTGGAAGACCGTCAGTCAGGAATTTACTCTGGATGGACGATCGCAAAGTCTGTTCTAGTCATAGTTTCTGTGATGTTCACAATCTTTTACCTCATAGTTACCGTATTCTTCATGAACACCATGATGCATGGCCACGAAATAAGTACTTTGAGCAAGGTGTTGGCAATAATCATTATTATACTACACAACATAGAATTTATTATGATACATCTTAAATTTACCACAGTTAGCCAATATTACTCCATGTTTCTAATAGTATTATACAAAACCCTCAAGGTAAGACATTTGTTTAATGTAACCTGCTACAAAAATTATATTTCAGGCAATCGTGTTCTTGTTTCTGCCAATTTCTTGCTTCATAATTATTTTCCACATACAATTTCTATACAACAGCGAATTCAGCACGTTTTTTCGCAGCCTTGTTAAAACAATCGTGTTGATGACCGGCGAATTCGAGTACGAAAAGACTTTACAAGACGAGTGCAATCTGACAGCTTCAAGTGCAGACAGAAGCAATTTAGAATTATTTTATGTGCGATTCATATTCCTTGCTTTCATAATCTTAGTCAACTTGGTTTTGTTGAACTTGATTATTGGTTTATCGGTAGATAACGTCGCAAGGGCAAAGAAAGCAGGCAATGCTGTGAGTATACGCCAGAAAGCTGAATTTTGCATACTAGTGGAAAATTTTTTGCGATACGTGAAAAAAAAATCTGGAGTCCAATGGATTAAAAATTTGGCGGGGTTTGTGGAGAAGCACGCCAAAGTTGAGTCGCCTTATGAGATGAAGAGAAGCAAAATTTACGTATTCCGCCAGAAAACTTTCGGTACATCATGATGTAACTGAGTTGGAGGTGTGTTACATAGCTTCTTTGTTGCAGACTCTCTAGACGAATTTGTGAGAAATGCTAACCTTTCAAAACAACAAAACGATCTTTTTACGTTGGTTTACAATTCTTCTGGGACGAGCCAGGAAGAAAAAAAAAATGAGTGTGTCGAGCCAGAGACGCACGTTTGAGTTTTATTTCTACGTTGTCAGTTGATAAATTATAAATTAAACACGTATACGCGACAAAGTCATCAATTTTCTCTTCAAAAATAATAAAAACCAAAAATATGTTGTATTTGTATTTTTTGACAAAATGATGATTAATGATGATGATTTAAAGTAAATACCCATGTATTATCAATTGTTGTTTATTACAAAATATACTTTTTTTTATTTATTTCTTTATTTTCATATTATAAAAATATAATAATTAATTATTATAATAATATTGTATAAAAAAAATTAAAGTTCAATGTGTAATTTACCAACTAAAGTAACAAGTAAATATTTACAAATGCTAGAGTAGCATTTATAACTTATTCGATTTAAAATACAAATTAGTGTTCAATCATAGCGTTATCGCCTTCGGTATCTTTATCCCTATCATTTAATACATTTATTAGTGGCCATTCATATTTTTTGGATTTGCATATACAGGATAACTCAAAAAAATTAATGATGTGTGATGTTTTAAAGTTATCATAAGCATGGTAATTTTTTGATCAAAATGTATTTGCTCCTCCTCCCTAAAAAATTGATGACGTCACCGCAAAGTGTTGCTGAATAAATCCCATCTTAAATGTGCAAAGTATGATGAGTGTATACTTGTGATCTAACACTGCATTAATATTTTTTAGATTTGCTTTTACGGGGTGTCTAAAAAAAATTAATGACTGAGTCAATTTATTTTATTGATTAAATCAAGAATTGCAAAACTGAATATGTATTTTGAAATCTTGACGTGAAGTTATTGTATGCATTTTAAGTTTTTAATCAAAATGTATTTGTTTGTCAACCTCAAAAAATTGATTACGTCATATCAAAATTTTGCCGAATAAATTCTTTCGAAAATGTGCAAAATATGATCAGATTATACATTGCAACTTATCACTGCATTCATAATTTTTAGATTTGCTTATACAGGATGACCAAAAAAAAAAAAATTAATCAGTCAATTTATTAAAGAAGATGAAACCAGAAGCGAGGGAAGTTCTGTCGAAATAGCTTTCGACCAATTTTTTTGTTTTTAGCTGCCTGACATCAAAATTGATAACTGTAAACTGAGATGTTAACATTGCTGCTAATAACTCAGAATTGCCAACCCAAAAATTTGCTTCAATTCAATTAGACATTCTGTATGTAAAGTCATTTACTAAAATAACGTCACACTACAAACTACAAAAGTCTTTTAGTGGTGGTTAGACATAGTAGAATTCTTTTAATTTTGGCAAAGTGTTGTCAACTATGACATTGGCAAATCATCCCTACCAACAATTTGTTGACGTCATCTCCAACATTTGCAATAGTAAATATTATTTAAATTTTATAAAATAAGATACTCCTATACATGTGGTTTACAAGCCCCTGTTGAGTTTTTATCGTAGACATCCAGATTTTTTGAGAAAAAAAATCAAAATTGCATTTTCACAATGAGAATGGAAAGGAATAGAATGTAGATTGTTAAAAAATAAAAAAAAGCTCTAATCGTAATATTTTTGTTATACTATTAGCTATAACATTTATTTCTTCTTTCAGAAAAAAAAAATAGAGAATGAGTGGGTAGGCGGGGCTAAGTTTAACTTTTTGCTACAGAATTATTTATAAACAAACAATAGCCCCGCCTCCCAGCCTTTATTTTCTTAGAGGGTATGTCATTTGCTACAGTTAGTCTCGTGTTAACAAGAACTAGCTAAGATAAGACTGATTTTGGCGAATGGCATACCTTCTAAGAAAATAGATGACGTATGGGTGGAGCTTTGTTAGATAAGACTGTTTTTGCAGATGGCATACCTTCTAAGAAAATAGAGGGCGGGCGGGTGGGTTTAGTATTTGCTAAGATCAGACTGAACAACTAGAATCTGGGTTAAGCTTTACTCTACAAAGTATTATAAGCAACCAATAGTCCCCCTTACCCATCCCCACTTCATTCTAGTTGTTCAGAAAAGATAGATTTTGGCAAATGATATGCCCTCTAAGAAAATAAAGGGCGGGTGGGCGGGGATTAGAACTTGCTAAGATAAAAATGAGTTTCTAGTTATTCAGTCTGATCTTAGCAAACACTAGCCCCACCCACCCTCCCTCTATTTTCTTAGTGAATATGTTATTTGCCAAAATCAGTCTTATCTTCGCAAGTATTAACCCCACCCACCCGCCCTCTGTTTTCTTAGAGGGTATGTCTGGACTGGTAAAACAAATTTTAATATTTTATGTTCTGTTTTTTGTAGTATATTTGTTCAAATTTTGCTTTCGGAGCATAATCTAAGCAAATATTAGTGGTTATGTAGTGTATCTTCTAGCTCATTTGGACCTCATTTGATCTGATCCTGAAACGCCACTACTTTTTTTAGTGAGGTCACTGACCTGTCGAACACCCCCATAATTTTCTGTCGACCTATTTGTCTGTCTTAATTTTTTATCCAGCATTTTGACTGTTTGGTCGACAAAAAAAATGGAAGTCCTAGAACAGGTCGATAAAAAAGTGTTGCCGCTTCTGGCTCAGGCCAAATGAGGTCACAGTGGGTCAGAAACTGCACTATATAACTAGTAAGTATTGTATTAGGGTACGAAAATAAAGGTCTTCTCCTTTTGTATCGATGTTTATCTGACAGATAATTTCCAAAATTACTGTATGGATGGTTGTTAAATTTAGACGAAGATTAGAAATGTCTTGTAGAGGGTAAAGTGCTACCCAAAATTTGTTTAGTCACCCCCAATAACACTTTGATGACGTCACCGCAAAACTATGCACACCAACTGTTGTTGAAATTTTAGAAAATGGTATAGTCCTGTCTGTGTTTATGGTTTATGAATCTGTCTTTACTTTTTCTTTATACGGCTTTTTTGTCTTTATTATCTCGATTTTTAACTTGTAGGGTTTTATATTATAGAGATTATATAAATCAGAAAATGTCTTTCACTTTGAGATATATTAAAAGAACTTTACATACACACTAGACATATTTATACACACAATGGATGAGCAAAACAACTCTTAATTGCAGTTGGCTGTGTCTCAGAAAACCTATGTCGGTACTTTTACACGGTTACCCTATTTCCCCCGAGTTGTCAAAAATTTGAATTCAAACGTCAAGACTTTGACAACTTCAATCATAGACTAAAATTAGTTTCCGGAGCTTCCTGCGATCTGAAATTAAATTGCTCACTCGTTATGAGAAAGAATGAGTTTCGCTACAATGTTTGCACAAAAAATTGTTCACTATCAACCGAAAAATGAATACGTGTTATTTTAATAATAAATGCCAAAGATAGTAAATATCATTCCGTTATCAACTTCGTATTAAAAAAATTAAAACTACAGTCTTTGTCTTTGCCATTTCTATTGAAACACCACTTGGTAATCATAAATTTGGTAACGTTCATATTCAGACAATTTTCTAACTAAAAGCCGTAGTCAATCAACTGAAAACTGTTACCAATTGCTAAATTTTAAGCAAAATCAACAGGTGGTGTTTCAATAGAAATGGCAAAGACAATATTTGTGTAAATAGATAAATCTTTATTTAACTATTGATAAGATGGATTTTGATAAAAAGATTTACAGGTTGTGAAAAGTAGGTGTCGAACGTAATATTTAGAAGTGTAGTTTATTTAAAGTGTAGACAACGAAGAGAATAAGGTTTTAATTATGACTAAAGATATACAAATAGAAGAAGCAGAAGAAGAAAAAGAAGAAGAGGAGCGTATTACTAGTAGTGATTCCCTTTTGTATAAAGCGGTTCTTAATGGAAACATAGATGAACTAAAAAAATTACTTACAAGTGATAATACCTATTACAAGGAGCATATTAATGACCTATACGAAGACTTTAGCAGTCAAAAAGACGAAGTAAAAAAAACTCTTCTATACATCGCTTCAGAAAAGGGTGACGTACCGTGTTTAACTGAACTGATTAAACATGGCGCAGATTTAAATATATCTAGTTCTAATAAGAAAACTCCACTCTATATAGCTGCAGAAAAAGGAAATAAAGAGTGCCTTATTCTATTACTTGACAAAGGTGCAGATAAAGACAAAGGAGGCCCATATGAGGCTACTCCAGCTTTTATAGCAGCTTTGAAAAAACACCAAAATTGTCTAACTGAATTAATCAAACGAGGGGCACCAGTAAAAAGACGTGACACCATTTTCGAAAAAGAGGACACTGTGGCCAATGATTTGCGCAAAGCAATTGATTCAGGTGATGCTGAAAATCTAAAAAATCTTATTGAGGATACAGACTTGTCAGAAATAATCAGTAAGAGAGATGCAACAGGCAAAACTGTTTTCCATCACGCAGTAGAGAAAAATCGAAAACAGTGCCTAGACTTGTTGATAAAATCCGTCTCAGACGAAAAAAAACCCACAGTTATTGACAAACCTAACGTTTATGGTCACACTCCACTTTATGTTGCAGCCATACTGAAGAACGATTGTTTCGCCTTGTTGAAAGAAAATGGTGCCAATTTTAGCAAAGCTTTGTACTCAGCTGTTTTAGAAGGACATAAAGAGTGTTTACAAAATTTTATTCAAGAAGATATCGACTTTGGTTATAAAGCGTACAAGCGTTGTTCTAAAACGGATGCTCGAGCCAATGGTGAAAATAACTCAAATCGTAGCGGCCACGGTGAAGATGAAGCACAAACACGTTTAATTGAAGATCACTCTACTGATGCAAGCAAAACACGGTGTTTCAAATGTTGCATTAAAGAAGATGACTTAGAATGTACCGACTACGATGAAGGTGAAACACAGTGCTTAAAATGTTTCATTGAAGAAGATGAAGATTGCTTAGTTCATGAACATGATGATCCCGGTTGCAATAGTCTAATAGAGGAAATTTTTACCCATGTTAATGAACCGGTTAATTTTATAAACCACGTATTTGAGTCCACCTCAGTGGATATTGAGAAGTCAAAAATGAATAAAGAGAAAATTTACAGAGTGGGTGAGTATTAGGTTCGTTTTATTTTTTCTATTTTCATACGAAAAAAGGAATAGAGTGTTTAACAGAGATGTTGGTCTTTTCCCCTTTCCACTGCTGCAAGCCGAACAATTAATTTTACTCTTAATTTAGCTTAATTAGTTTCAGTCGTTAAAGATACTAAAACTCAAAGAGCTGTATAAGATTTGTGTTTTTTTTTTCTAGATTTTAAAATGTTCCTGCCGAAGAGAGACACAGATCGGGGCCAAATGCATGTTTTTGCTTGTTTATTGAAAGCAATGAATAATGAAGAAGAAATTAGTGTTCTGAATAACATTTTCTGTCGTAAGTGACAAATCAGAATTTACTGCTTATTTTCTACTAGTCTGTATTTATTTTAGAAATATTCTTGAAAGCAAAACTGAAAACTAGAACCTTGTTCTGGATATTGCTCTTTAGACTTTTTATCTGGTATGCATACTTTGCCTGTGTAGTTTTGTATACTGCTGTTGTGCTAGAGATTTTTGAATTCGCTTCAGTTCAGTTAATACCGATAAGCACCATGGGAATATTTCTGCTAATACGATTCTTACTGCAAATAAATCAGGTAATTTTTTGTTGTTGTTTCAAGTTTAGTGTCAGTAGTTATATAGTGGGGCTTCTGCTCGCTTTTTGGGTTCCAAATCCATGGCGCGCATAGACTACTCCTACAACAGCAACTAAAAACTGTTCCTAAATCTACCACTCAATAGAGGGCGACAAAAAACCGTAATTCAAAAAACTACGATTTATGTAATCCTGTTGCAGATACTTCTCCTTCTGGAAAACCGTCAGTCAGGAATTTACTCTAGATGGACGATCGCAAAGTCTGTTCTAGTCATAGTTTCTGTGATTTTCACAATCTTTTACCTCATACTTACCATACTCTTCATGAACACCACGATCCTTGGCCACGAAATAAGTACTTTGAGCAAGATGTTGGCAATAATCATTATTATACTACACAACATAGAATTTATTATGATACATCTTAAATTTACCCTATTTAGCCATTATTACTCCATGTTTCTAATGGTATTACTCAAGACCCTCAAGGTAAGACGGTACATGTGTTTACTGAAACCTGCAACGAAATTTTCATTTCAGGCAATCGGGTTCTTCATTCTGCCAATTTCGTGCTTCATAATTATTTTCCGTTTACAATTTGGGCACTATAGCGAATTCAGCACGCTTTTTCGTACCTTCGTTAAAACAATCGTGCTAATGACCGGCGAATTCGAATATGAAAATACTTTGCACAACGAACTGGCCAACGTCACAAAGAGCTCCAGCGCTCGTCTGCTAGAAGCTTCAAGAAACCTAGAATCTTTTTATGTGCGATTCTTATTTCTTGCTTTCATACTCTTAGTCAACTTGGTTTTGTTGAACTTGATTATTGGTTTATCGGTAGATAACGTCGCAAGGGCAAAGAAGGCAGGCAATGCTGTGAGTATACACCAGAAAGCTGAATTTTGCATACAAGTGGAAAATTTTTTGCGATACGTGAAAAAAAAATGTGGAGTCCAATGGATTAAAAATTTGGCGGGGTTTGTGGAGAAGCACGCCAAAGTTGAGTCGCCTTATGAGATGAAGAGAAGCGAAACTGACGTATTCCGCCAGAAAACATTCGGTACATCATGATGTAACTGAGTTGGAGGTGTGTTACATAACTTCTTTGTTGCAGACTCTCTAGACGAACTTGTGAGAAATGCTAACCTTTCAAAACAACCAAGCGACCTTTCTACGTTGCTTTACAATTCTTCTGGGACGAGCAAGCAAGCAAAGAAATAAGCATCAAATAGAAACTATGGGTATAATGTACAATTGGCTTCAAAAAAACAGGAAATGTCAGAAAAAGTTCTGCCAGATTTTATTAATTTTTTTTTAATTTAATTGAGCTTTTTAGAATTTAGGTTAAAAAACTGCACTTTTTTTGTACGTGCCAGAAATGTTAATTCCTTTTTTACAGATACGACTGTCAAATAGACAAGAATGTTTGCGTTTTTTTTTAAAGTTGGTAACTTACTCAAAATTTTATGATGGCATAGCTCATGTCAAAATTGACAACTGTGGACTAACGTACAATAGTATGGATGGCAATAATTCAGAATTGCCAACATAAAAATTTGCTTCACCCGGTGTTTAAGTATATAATTATGTGTATGTAATTATAAAACAACAATAACACATTGACTTAGTTCTGTGTATTTACATGTACTTATAATAAACCAAAATGTTGAGCTTCAATTCAAACAATTATATTAACAACATTAAATAAAAAATAAACCTAACGCTCTAATATCTTCTATTGGTTTGTGTGCAATTTTTGACAACCCAAACATCCCTCGAAAATGAGACATTTTTTAGTCTATTCCACCATTCTGGAGAGAGAAAATCTGTTGAAATATTTAGAACTTATTTCCTAGCTGCAAAAAACCTGTCCAGTTTTCCAAATGCTACAAATCGATACATTTTAGCCCCACAAATAGAAAAAAGAAGTTGAAAGGTAATACTCAAGTTATTACGATGATGCAATGGCAAATAACAACAGTTTAGCAAGAAAATATCAAGCTGAGTCCTCGCAAAGGAGACTGCGAGTCCACGATATTAATTTAACTGATGATAATTTTCGAGGTCATTTCTCTCAAAACAAAACGATGTTTAAGATTAGTTTAAAGTGGGATTTATAAACTTGCTGATGACGTTGAAGCAGCTGTTGTTCCCGCTGACGTTGCTTTTAGAGCTGAAAATTGTCATTTATAAACTTATTTTAGACATGTTTTAAGTTTCTTGTTGCCGAAATAAGTCTACACATATTAAGAAAAAAAGGCAAAATGTAGCCCCGCCCACCCGCCCTATCTCAATTGTGATGATTTTTTTTATTCATCGTGAGCCAAGAGGGCGGAGCTTAACTGCAAAATCCATATTTCTCGACGAGAATAAGTCAAAAAATACTATGTATATTAAGAAAAAAAAACAATAAAGCCAAAGATTAGGCTCCACCCACACCCGCCCCGACCTCAATTCTCAGTTGTGATGAATTTTTCATTCGTTGTCAGATCGAGGGGCGGGGCTTAATTGCAAGGTCCATATTTTATTTAGCTAACAAAAATATAAGTATAAGCCCCACCCAGTCCACCCACCCAATCGTCAAGAGCCAAAGGAGCGGAATTTAATTGCAAAATACTTATTATTCCTTTACAAGAAATTATCATGTAAGACATGTTTTTGAGTATCGTGTTATTCAAAGAATACTGCATATGTATCAAGAAAAAATTAAAGCCAAACATTAAGCTCCACCCACACCTGCCCTGATCTAAATAGTGATGAAGTTTTCATTCGCTAGTAGACCTAAGGGCGGAGCCTAATTGCAAAATCCATATTTCCTTTCAAAATAGATGGGGTGGGTGGGCGGGGTTTATATTTTGCCTTTTCTTTCTGAATATACATAGTATTCTTTGAACAACACTTACTCAAAAACATTAATTTCTTGTAAAGAAATAAGTATTTTGCAGTTAAGCTCCGTTCCCTTGGTTTACGGTGAATAAAAAAAAAATTCACAATTAAGACAGGGCGGGTGGGCGGGCTTAAGTTTTGGTTTTTTATTTTAATATGTGTAGACTTCTTTTCACAACATGAAACTTAAAACATATTTAAAATGGAAAATGTGTATAAGGAAATATCCATTTTGCAATTAGGCACCGGCCCATAATTGCAAAATCCATATTTCTTTGCAAAAATGTACCATTTTAACCATATTCTAGGCTTCTATTCTATTCTTGTTGTGAAAAGATGGCTATGTATATTAAGAAAAAAAGGCAAAATATATGCCCCGCCCACCCACCCTATCTCAATTCTGATGATTTTTTTTTATTTGTCGTAAGGCGAGGGGAGGAGCTTAAATGCAAAATCCTTATTTTGCTATGAGAAATTGCCATGTGAAATATGTTCTTAACCAATCGTATTATGTACAAACAAAACTAAATGTGTTCATTAATCCCATCCGCCTCGATGTCAATCGTGACACATTTTTCATTCGTTATCAGACCCAGGGGTGGAGCCTAATTGCAAAATCGATATTTCCGTATACAAATTTTCCATTTTAAACATATTTTAAGTTTCGCTCACGACGAATAAAAAAAATCATCCCAATCGAGATAGGGTGGGTGGGCGGGGCTACATTTTGCCTTTTTTTTTAATATGTGTAGACTTATTGCGGCAACAAGAAACTTAAAACATGTCTAAAATAGTAAATTTTTGTAGTAATCAACTTAAATCCTCCACTTTTCTTCTACTATCCCTTTAAATACGGCAAAAGTTGAACATCCTACTTAGATGCCTTGGATCAAGGCCAACTTGATGGTTGTTTCATCTGAATAATCCACATGCGAGTTTTTCTCTTGAGAAACAGATTTAGAACTTACTGATGCCATTTTTTTTTTATTTAAACTGGAAATATAATTGTTTCGGCAGATCTATTCATGTGAAGAGTATAAACAAATTTTTTATTTTTGGACAATATATAATTTAACAATATTTGCAAAAACTGATTTGTTTTTAATAACTTTCTATTTATAGGAAAACGCTTTTCACTTTAATTATGACAATAACTATTAATTTTGTTTAAGTATTATTGAATTACGACATGATTATTACTTAATTTTTTTTGGGGAATAGCTGTTTTAATATAAATCATTGAAACTCCACCAAAATAAAAGTGAAAATTGGTATATTTAAAAATTGTTATATACATTAATCAATAAATACGTATATGCAACCAATTATTCAAATTGTTGAACTAGACAATTTCAAGAATTTCATGAATTTTTTTATTCAAGATTCGATATACATTTGGTTGCATTAAAAACCGAACAAGGTCATATTAGCAATATTTTTCATAGTGTGAATAGCGAACATCTAAGTTTAGGACGTGATCTTTATATTGGTAAAAGAAAAAATGACGAAATTCTGCAAACGTTTGTATGCTGGATTGAAATATAAATATGTCATTGATGTATGAATAATAATAATAGTTAACATTATTGGATTCTTGGATTATAAACATTTTTTAAACTTCTCGAGCCTAACCCTAAGACTAAAATCTTTACAAATTTGTTTTTAAGGATCCCTGTACAAAACGAACGGAAATTAAGCGAAAAAAATTAGATCACTTATTAATTGGAGATAACTAACAAACATGTATTTTTTTGCGTGGAAAACGTGTTATCTTAAATCTCAGATTATATTAATATGTCAAGTGTTCTTAAATTTTTTCTATTCTATTTCACAATTTTAAAAACATAAGTGTTTCACTATATTGTTTGCACAAAAATTATTTATAATGAAGAATGTAATTTACAACTACCACCTCGGTATCAACTTTGTGCTAAAAATTAAATATATTTGTCACCAATTAAATAATAAGGGAATCTTTATCGAACCGTTTTATTGATAAGATAGATTTTGATAAAATACATTTACAGGTGGATCAGTCGTGAAAAGTATCTCTCGAAGGTACTAACTATTTACTTGTGAAGTTTGTTTAAAGTGATGTAGATAAGTAATAGAATAAAGTCTAAATTATGGATGAAAGTATGAACATGGAAGAAAAACAGAAGTTTTTAAACGCGGTTCTACAAGGAAATGTAGACGAACTAGAAAAATTACTTAGTAGTGACTATTACAAGAACAACAAACATATTATTGATGATCAATACGAAGACATCAGTAGTCACAACATAGTTAAAAAGAAAAAAACTCTTCCATACACAGCATTAGAAAAGTGTGACCCAGCATTAGAAGACTTAACTTCACCACTTAATCGCGTAGAATTAGACTCGGTTGGTTTTAACAAGAGAACTAAAAACGAAGACAATAGTCAGAAAAGAGACAAAATAACGAAAACTCTTCTGTACATAGCTTTAGAAAAAGGTGACGCATCATGTTTAATTAAACTAATTAAAAATGGGGCAAATTTGAACATAACTAGTTCTAATCAGAAAACTCCTCTCTACATCGCAGCAGAGAAAGGGAATAAAGAGTGCCTTATTCTGTTACTTGACAATGGTGCGAATATAAACGAAGGAGGCCCATGTGGGACTACTCCAGGTTTTATAGCAGCTTTGAAAAAACACCAAGATTGTCTAAATGAATTAATGAAAAGAGGGGCATTGGTAAAAAGAGGTAACACCATTTTCGAAACGAACTCCACTGCCCAAAATTTGCAGAAAACAATTAAGTCAGATGACGTTAAAAGTCTAGGAAAATTAATCCAAAACGAGAAAGAATTTTTCTTAAATAATATCGGTAACAGAGATGCGACAGGTAAAACCGTTTTCCACCTTGCTGTAGAGAAAAATCGTAAGGACTGTCTAGACTTGTTGATAAAATTCGTTTCAGAGATGGAGAACCATCTCGACTTAATTGACAAACCTAACGTTTATGGTCACACCCCACTCTATGTTGCAGCTCTACTCAAGAATGACTGTTTCGCCCTGTTGAAGAAACACGGTGCTAATTTTAGCAAAGCTTCATATTCTGCTGCTATAGAAGGAGAGAAAGAGTGTTTAGAAAATTTTATTGAAGAAGATATCGACTTGAGCTATCAAGGACATAAGCGTTGTCTTATAAAGGATGGCAGTGACGTTCAAGTTAATAAAAAACCAAGCAGTGATGAAGCACAGTGCTTCAAATGTTCGATTGAAGATGAACAATTAATATGCTGCTACCATGATATTAGCAACATTCGGTGTTTCAAATGTTGCAATAAAGGGGCTAATTTGGAATGCAATGAGCATGATGGAGGCGAAACACAATGCTTAAAATGCTTCATTGATGAAGATTACGGTTCGATTACTGACCAAGATAGCTTAGTTCATGACCATGATGATTCTGGTTGTAATAGTCTAATAGAGGAAATTTTTGCTCATGTTCATGAACCTGTTAATTTTATAAACCATGTATTTGATTCCGCATCAGTGGACATTGAAAAGTCAAAAACGAATAAAGAGAAAATTTACAAAGTGGGTGAGTTGGTAAATTATAATCATACAAGATTCGTGTATAACAATTTTTTTCCAGACTTCAAAATTTTGCTTCCGAAAAGAGATACAGATCGAGGACAAATGCACGTTTTTGCTTGCTTACTCAATGCCATGAACAGTGAAGAAAAAATTGGTGTTCTAAATCACATTTTCTGTCGTACGTAACAAACATTCAGCACTTACTGGTTATTTTTTTAGTTTATTTTAGAAATATTCTTGGCAGCAAAACTGAAAACTAGAACCTTGTACTGGATATTAAAATTTAGACTTTTTATCTGGTATGCATACTTTATTTGTGTGATGCTTTACACCGCAGCTGTGCTAAAGATTTTTGAATTCTCTGTCGACCATAAGTGGTTAATTGGTGTTACAGGCATATTTCTGGTAATACGGTTCTTGGTTCAAATGAATCAGGTAAATTTTTGGGTTGGCAGTTATGGCAATTATGTATTCCTGTTACAGATGCGTCTTCTATGGAGTGACCATCGATCAGGAATTTACTCTATGTGGACCACCGTAAATTCCGTTCTAGTTATAGCTTCTGTAATGTTCACACTCTTTTACCTCATAGTTACCGCATCCTTTACGAACAGCATGATCCATGACAACCAAATAAGCACTTTGACCAGCATCTCGGCAATAGTCATTATTGTACTACACAACATAGAATTTATAATGATACATCTTAAATTTACCGTAGTGGGTCAATATTACTCCATGTTTCTGATAGTATTATACAAAACCCTCAAGGTAAGACGGTATATGTGTTCACTGAAACCTATAAAAATTACATTTCAGGCAATCGGGTTCTTGTTTTTGCCAATCTTGTGCTTCATAATTATTTTCCACTTGCAATTTTTAAACTATAGTGAATTCAGCACGATTTTTCGCACCTTCGTTAAAACAATCGTGCTAATGACCGGCGAATTCGAATATGAAAATACTTTGCACAACGAATTGGCCAACGTCACCAACAGCTCCAGCGCTCGTCTGCTAGAAGCTTCAAGAAACCTAGAATCTTTTTATGTGCGATTCTTATTTCTTGCTTTCATACTCTTAGTAAACTTGGTTTTGTTGAACTTGATTATTGGTTTATCCGTAAATAACGTCGCAATGGCAAAGAAGACAGGCAATGCTGTGAGTATACGGCAAAAAGCTGAGTTCTGCATAGAAGTGGAAGATTTTTTGGAGTATGTGAGAAGAAGGTGTTGCGTAAAGTGGATTCAAAATGTCGCGAAGATAATGGAGAAGTATTCCAGAATTGAGTCGCCTTATAAGATGCAAAGAAGCAAATTTGCCCCCCTACGTCAGAAAACTTTCGGTATGTAATCATATAATTGAGCTGGAGGTATGCAAAAAAGCTATTTTTGTTGCAGACTCTCTAGACGAACTTGTAAGAAATGCTAAACTTTCAAAAAAACAAAACAAGCTTTCTGTGTTGCTCTACAATTCCTCTGGGACGAGCAAGCAAATGTAAGATAACACCTACAACATCAAATTGACACTTCCTGTAATTGTAAAATAACAATATAAAAATAGATTCACACATCTTTTATGTACATATTTACAAGTCTTTTACTGTATAGTAAAAAATTGTAATCAAGAAAATCGTTCTTTTTGGTAGTTGGTAGCTCTCCTAGGGAAATTCTGGATAGTTATCAAGTGAGAGGGTTGGTAGTGGAAGTGCTTGGTATAGGGGTGACACGTCACTGTTTGTTTACTGTGAGTGAAAGAACGCAGTAAGGTAGCTAGATTAAGTTTAGTTGGTTTGGTAGTTAAAAAAAAGGGGAAGCCTTATTGCTGTTTTTCCAAGCGGAAATATGCGAATTTTCGACTAACGCCAACACGTGGCGTAAATTTGCTTTATCGATTGCAGATTTACAGTTCATGTTAGGATTTTAATCGTTAACTAGTTTTAACACAATTTAACAGTCATGAGATTGCGATTCAGATAGAGCACTTGCTAGGAGATTTCATAAAATTCACTTAGTCAGGACTCATCCTTTGTTTATCAAGTTATTAATAAGGTTTCTGGATACTTATACTTAAGTGTTACTTTATAATGGAACAGTCCCAAATATATCTACCAACGTTCAGTGGGTGTCTCAAAAGTGTTCTTCAATTGCTCCGGCCTCTGATACTCCAATAACTCTTGCGGCAATCGAGAAGCTGTTTGAAAATCAATTCAGCAAATTAAAGGAGGACTTGAAATTAGAATTTTCTCACATAATTGATGAAAAATTATTGCAAATTAATAACAGAATTTCTGATGTTGAAAATAATGTTCGAAAAATACAATCTGAAATTATTCATCTTAAGACTTCCTCTACCAATAAGACTGACTCTTATGATATTAATGATGTAGTGTTGGAGATTTGTGACCGAAATGACCGTAGTAAGAATGTTCTCTTATACAATGTCCCTGAGTCACTGGCTAAATCTGCAGACGAACGCGTAATTGACGATTTAACTCATGTTTCGTCCATTTTGGAACCTCTAGGGGCACTCCAACAGCCAAAGAAAATTTTCCGTATTGGTCCTCCAAAACCTAATGCGGTACGTCCGTTAAAGATGATTTTTTCGAACAATGATGAGGCCAAGAGTATACTAAAATCTAACATTAAAAATCCCAATAAACAAAATCACTTTCGCCCGGATTTGACTACACGGCAAAGACAATCCAATTCTTCCATAATTGAGAAATTTAAGGAAAGAAAATCGCGTGGAGAGAACGACATTGCGCTGACCAATAGGAACAATATGGCATTGATTACACGGAGGAATGAAGGCAGAAGTCAAGCAAAAAACGAATAAATTTTTATTTTCACAATGTTGGTGGTTTAAATACTAAGATTCATGATTTTTCAAATAGAGTTAATACGAGTGTTTACGATGTTATTATAATAATAGAATCTTAGTTGACACATGAAGTTTCCGATGTAGAACTAAGTTTATCTAATTTTAACATATTTCGTGCTGATCGAAGTTTTAGTGTTAGTGGTAAAGTTAAAAGTGGTGGTGTACTGGTGGCTGAAAAAAAGATATATGTTCCTCAACTATCTTTATAGGTCAATCAGTAGAAAGTATTTACCTTCGTCTTCAGATTAAGGAATTTAACTTTATTGTGTGAGGAGTCTATATTCCTCCTGGTTCTACGGAAGTTATTTATAAGAACCACTGCGATGATTTAGAAAATATTTTTAACAAATACCCTGAGCCCAAATATATTATTGCAGGGGATTTTAATTTACCTAATATAAAGATTGATGACAATATGTTTATGTCGTGTGCAGGGCCACGGAGCAATTTTGATATAGTCAGTGGGTTGTATTCGTTTTTAAACATGAACCAAATTAATATGATCCCAAATGAAACAGGCGTCTTTCTTGATCTAATCTTTTCTAATATTAAGGATATAGAAATTAGCGAAGTTATGGATCTGTTATCGAATGTAAATTTTCATCATATTCCTTATAAGTGGTCTGTATCTTGTATAGCAGATGCTCCCTTACTCTTGGAGAAGTATGTTTTTGATTTTGGTAACGGAGATTATCACTCACTTAATAATTTTTTGGCATCTGTGGACTGGACGTCTTGTTTCAGTAATAAAAATGTTGATACTAAAGTCTCGATATTCTATGATATTTTGTTTACAGGCATTAATTACTATATTCCAAAGAAAACGATTAAATCTAGGAGTTCTTATCCGATAGGGTTTAACAGGGATCTTAAAAATTTGTGCTACCAGAAAAGGCTCGCTCATTTTAAATATAAATTGTCTGGCAAATTAGTAGATTATCTTAACTTCAAGTCGATTCGATCTCGCTGCAAGACCCTTAACGAAAATTTATATTCTTCGTACATTGCCCAAGTTGATGTTAGTGTTACATCTAACCCAAATTATATTTGGAAATATATTCGTAATAAGAACAAGGATAATGGGATTCCTAATTACATGTCATTTAAAGATAAGAAAGCGGACAATGGAGCAGATATTTCCAATCTGTTTGTGGAATATTTTTTTTCTACAGTCTATGTTACTGATCCCACAATAAATTTACAAAATAATAATTCACCTAATTTAAAAGTCTTTGATAGTGGATTAAAGGTAACATTATTGGATGTTTTTCAAAATATTAGCAATCTTAAATCTTCTTATTCCTGTGGTCCCGACGGTGTTCCAAGTATGCTTATAAAAAAATGCATTTGTACTTTGGCTGTTCCACTGTTCCTATTGTTTGAATCATCCCTTATGGAATCCAAAGTTCCTGATGTTTGGAAGTGTAGTTATGTGTCTCCGATTTTTAAATCGGGAGCACGAACCAAAGTAGAAAACTATAGAGGGGTGAGCAACCAATCAGTAATCCCCAAAATTTTAGATTACATTATTGCGAAACAACTACAGTGGTCTTCTTCTTCGATTTTATCTACTCATCAACATGGGTTTTGTAAAGGTAAATCTTCTGTTACAAACTTATTGTCTTACTACGTGTTTCTTAATAATTCATTTCAAGTAAGGTCTCAAGTGGATTCCATTTACACTGACTTCGCAAAAGCCTTTGATAGGGTCAGTCATCACATTCTGATCTCTAAACTGAGTCAACTAGGGTTTAACAGTTCCACTGTAGATTGGTTGTTTTCGTTTCTATCGGGCAGATGTCAACAAGTTAGAATTGGCAATTTTATATCCTGCAGTTTTGAAGTTACTTCTGGTGTACCTCAGGGATCACACTGTGGTCCAATATTATTTTTGCTGTTTGTCAATGATCTACAATTTTGTTTCAAATATTCTAATTTTTTACTTTACGCCGATGACTTGAAAATTTTTAAACTTATTAAATCTCCTCATGATGCGTTGGAATTACAATCTGATTTAAATAGCTTATATAACTGGTGTGATCGGAATCAATTGTTTTTAAATACTGATAAATGTTATGTTATAACATTCTGTAAAGTAAAAAATTTATACCAACATACCTATAAAATAAATGACAGTGTCTTGAAGGTAGTAAATGAAATAAAAGACCTCGGTGTGGTGTTTGATTCAAAATTGTCTTTTAAATCTCATTACGATTATATATTCAAAAAGTCAATGAACATGTTGGGTTTTGTATGGCGTCACTGTCACATGTTATCTACGTTCTCTTTAAAGACACTTTACTGTTCCCTCGTACGTTCGCATTTGGAATATTGTTCACCAATATGGTTTCCCTTTTATAAGACGGATAATGATTATTTGGAAAGAATTCAAAAGAAGTTTCTTAGATGTTTGGAGTTCCGAATGCATTGGCCCCACCATAAAGGCCAATACGAGATCATCACCAATTTCATAAACTTGCCTTCTTTGCATGCAAGGAGGATACTGTAGGATGGTTGCCTTTTACATGGTGTCATAAATGTTCATATTGTTAGCCCTGAAATATTATCACAACTGGATTTCTATGTTCCCGATCCTTCGGTTTGTAACATACGCAGTGTAAACATTTTTAGAGTCCATTCTTCGTTAAAAACAAATTTTGCTTTTAATAATCCAATTAATAGACTAATGGAACTTGGAAACAAATTTGCATCCATAGAAAAGTTTGATCTTTTCCAAAATTCAAAACATATATTCAGACGTGAATTCCTTTCTATTCTTAACAATAATTGCCGTTAATTTTGCTCATGAGTTATGTCGAATTTTCAACTTCTGAATTTTCCATTTTTTGATTTTCCAGTTTTTGGATTTTTTGTTTCCGATTTTTCAATCCGTTATATTCCGTGTTTTTAATTTAAAATTTTTCGATTTTTCGATTTATTTTTAGAGTTTTATTCAATTTAAAATTTTCTCCATTTTTGATTTTTTACATTTTCTTTATCAATTCTTACTTTACAAATTTGCCATTTTACTGGTTTTCGCTTTGCAATTATTCGAGTTTTCCGTTTTCTGATTTTCGATTCGAGTTTTTAATCTTAAATTTTTGATTTTGAGTTTTAAATTTTTGATTTTTCAACTTTAAAATTTTTGAAATCTTCGATTTTTCACTTCTCGATTTTCAGTTGCTCGATTGGCATTTTTTTGATATTTAAACTCTCGTTTTTATAAAATTTCCGAGTTTTCACTTTTAAACTTTTGGATTTTCAGCGTTTCGGATTCATTTTCCCGAATTTTCAATCATTCGATTTTTTGGTTTTTCGTGTTTCATTCCGCAATGTTCCGAATTTGCAATTTAGAATTTCTCAATTTTTAGATATTTTAATTTTTTGATTTTCCTAATCTTTTCAGTTTTTTGCTATTTTGAGGATTTGGGGATTTTGATGTTATCACGATTTTTGGAATTTGTTGTTTTTAAGATTTGAGGATTTTGGTGTTTTGGGGATTTAGCGATTTTGAAGATTTGAGGATTTTGGTGTTTTGAGGATTTAAGGATTCAGCGATTTTGGGAATTTGAGGATTTTGATGTTTTGAAGATTTGAGGATATCAGGATTTTGGTGTTTTGAGGATGTGGGAGTTTGAGGATCTTGATGTTTCGAGGATTTGATGACTTGATGATTTTGGTGTTTTGAGGATTTGGGGATTTGAGTTTTTTGAGGATTTGAGCAATTTGGTGTTTTAAAGATTTGAAGATTTTGGTATTTTGAGGATTTGACGATTTTGTTGTTTTGAGGATTTGAGGATTTTGGCGTTCTGAGGATTGGAGGATTGAACTTTTAAATTTTTGAACTCTTTTTCTCAACTGTTGAATTTTTAAAATTTTCTATTTCCAGTTTTAAATTTTTGGACTTTCATTTTGCAATATTCCGAATTTGCAATTTCAAATTTCTGAACTTGAAAATATTTTAATTTTTCGATTTTTCCAGTATTTTCAATTTTTTAGTGTTTTTAGGATTTGAAAATTTTGAGGATTCAAGGATTTGAGGATTTTGTTGTTTTGACAGTTTGACGATTTTGATGTTTTGAGGATTTGAGGCTTTTGGTATTTTGAGGATTTGAAGATGTTGGTATTTTAAGAACATCAGGATTTTGGTGTTTTGACAGTTTGAGGATTTGGTGATTTTGGTGTTTTGAGGACTTGAGAATTTTGATTTTTGAGAATTTGCGGATTTAAGGATTTTGATATTTTGAAGATTTAAAGATTTTGGTATTTTGAGGATTTGAGAATTTCGATGTTTTGAGTATTAAAGGATTTTGGGGATTTCAGGATTTTAAGAATCTAAAATTTTTGAGATTTTCGTTTTTTCAACTTCTGAACTTTAAAATTTTTGAACTCTTCTTTTATTCAATTTAAGAATTTTAAAAATTTTCTGGCTTTCAGTTTTAATTTTTTTTGGATTCTCATTTTGCAATATTCCGAATTTGCAATTTAAAATTTCTCAATTTGTAGATATTCTAATTTTTAGATTTTCCTAATATTTTCAATTTTTTGGTGTTTTGAGGGTTTAGAGATTTTGATGTTTTGAGGACTTGATCATTTTGATATTTTGGTGATTTTGGTGTTGAGGATTTGAGGATTTTGGTGTTTTGAGGATTTGAAGATTTGAGAATTTTGGTGTATTGAGTATTAGAGGATTTTGAGAATTTAAAGACCTAAAATTTTTGAGATTTTCGTTTTTTCAATTTCTGAACTTTTTAATTTTTGTACTCTTCTTTGTCTCAACTGTTAAATTTTTAAAATTTTCTATTTCCAGTTTAAAATTTTTCGACTTTCACTCTGCAATATTCCGAATTTGCAATTTCAAATTTCTCAATTTGAAAATATTTTAATTTTTCGATTTTCCCAGTATTTTCAATTTTTTAGTGTTTTTAGGATATGAAGATTTTGAGGATTCAAGGATTTGAGGATTTTGTTGTTTTGACAGTTTGAGGATTTGGTGATTTTGGTGTTTTGAGGACTTGAGAATTTTGATTTTTGAGAATTTGCGGATTTAAGGATTTTGATATTTTGAAGATTTAAAGATTTTGGTATTTTGAGGATTTGAAAATTTTGATGTTTTGAGTATTAAGGGATTTTGGGATTTCAGGATTTTGAGGATCTAAAATTTTTGAGATTTTCGTTTTTTCAACTTCTGAACTTTAAAATTTTTGAACTCTTCTTTTGCTCAATTTAAGAATTTTAAAAATTTTCTGGCTTTCAGTTTTAATTTTTTTTGGATTTTCATTTTACAATATTCCGAATTTGCAATTTAAAATTTCTCAATTTGTAGATATTCTAATTTTTAGATTTTCCTAATATTTTCAATTTTTTGGTGTTTTGAGGGTTTGGAGATTTTAATGTTTTGAGAACTTGATCATTTTGTTATTTTGGTGATTTTGGTGTTGAGGATTTAAGGATTTTGGTGTTTTGAGGATTTGAAGATTTGAGAATTTTGGTGTATTGAGTATTAGGGGATTTTGAGAATTTAAAAACCTAAAATTTTTGAGATTTTCGTTTTTTCAATTTCTGAACTTTTAAATTTTTGTACTCTTCTTTGTCTCAACTGTTAAATTTTTTAAATTTTCTGGTTTCCAGTTTAAAATTTTTGGACTTTCATTTTGCAATATTCCGAATTTGCAATTTCAAATTTCTCAATTTGAAGATATTTTAATTTTTCGATTTTCCCAGTATTTTCAATTTTTGGAAAATCCCTATCTATTAGTACTAATTCCGTGGTACTAGAAATTACTAATATAGGGACTTTTTTGACAACCAACAGCTGTCAAATGTCACTTACTACAAACATAACCTTTTCGTTGTTGTACCAAAGTGCAAGAAGTGGATGTCTTTTCTTGCGGTTTCTTGGGAGTGGCAAATTTAGTTGAGTTCGACTGAAAATTCCGAAAATTCCTAACCCCAAAAACAAATTCATCTTCCCATCAAATCAAAATGGGGTCTGAAATTGCTGTCTTGTACAACTTGTTGAACTTTTATAAAAGAACTGTCGTGGAAACTCTCAACAAAATCGACGCAAATGTAAGTGCACATTTCACACTTTTCTTCCATTTCGTTTTTCTGATACTTTTAGTAAAATTTTTTGAAATTTATGTACAGCTTGTAGACGTGGTGAACGACTACAACAACTCTCAGACAACAAATTCGTCTTCAAAGAAATATGAAATAGCGTCACACATGACCGGGATGTTGCCACATTATGTCCAGATGTTACAGACTGCGGAAGTAATGGCTGCAGAACTCTTAGTGCAATTAAATAAAGTAGGTTGTGATCTCCATCCAGAGAAGGATTTAGACTTCTCAAATCCGTTTTATACCCCAGAGTTGCAAGAACAACAAGAACCAGAAGTTAATAACTCTTTCCAACAAATAGAACAAGACTTAGAAGAATTAGAGATATCAGAAATGGTTCACCCAAAAATTGAGTTGCAACCAACAGAAAAATCATTTTTTGAATCAAGTGACCAGTCAGAAGAGGAAATAATTGTTGGTAATACTGACATAAAAGATGAAAGAACTGAAAACTCTGAAAGTGTTCAATTAGAATCACGTACACTTGAAGTTGGTCTTGATATAAAAGATGAAAGTGGTGAACCTCTCCCTAGAATAGAAAATACAAACTGTGATGTTGAAAGTGTCTTCAAGCCTGAAGTAGTTCTAAGTGAAATTGACCACAAACACAAAATTAATCAAAGTGAGAGTTCAAATTTTAACTGCCAGGTAGCTTCTCAAACTGAGCTAGTACCAAAAACTGATCTCAAAACTGAAAATAATGACAATGTGTGCACTGAAATTCCAGTGGATCAACCACAGGAAAAAAGTCCTCGGAAACGAAAAAGTTCTAAAAAAAATAAAAAATCTAATACAAATCCAAGCAGCCCACAGTCTGACACTGTTAAAGACAATATACAAGTTGAAGAAAGTCCTAAGACTAGTCCAGCAGTTCATAGAGTACCTGTAAAACAACCCTATAATTGGAGAGAAGAGGCTGTGAAACGTTTGATAAATGAAAATTTGAAAACGACACTGACGTGGAGGGTTTCACCTTCTCAGAATAAAACTAAACGCGAGAGTGAGGGGAGGAGCAAAGGAAACGGTCCAATTTTTGGTTTGTAGATCTTTGTTTTTAATATTTTGTAATTTTATTTCGTGGCCTGTAGAGTATGAAAAAAGTGGTCTCCCGTTTCCGTCCGTTAGTCTGTCTGTCTGTCTGACGTCTGTGTAAACTACTGGACCTTCTTGTATGTATATTAGGAATGTAGATGGTTAAACGCCATCACCAATGGGGATTTATTATCATCAACCAATTTTCGTTTTTCCTCTTCTTCATTTCTACAATTTTTTGACATTACAATTTTTGGTTTTTTCATTTTTCAGTGTTTCGGTTTCATAATTTTTCAGTATTTCGGTTTGCTATTTTTTACTTTGCATTTTTTTTTCAATGTTTCTGTTTGTAATGTTTATTCAATTTTTCAAATTTTCAATCTTAGATTATTTGTTTTCCCGCTTTTTCAATTTTTAATTTTTTCAATTTCGCAATTTTGGATTTCCAGTTTTACAGTTTTCCGATTTTTTTAATTTTCAATTTTAAGTTTCCCAATTCCCAATTTTAATATTTCGATTTTTGAATTTTTTGTTTCTTGATTCTTTTCCAAGTTCTTGATTTCCAATTTTTAGAATTTTTATTTTATACAATTCAATTTTTCATTTTTGATTTTTCAATTTTACGATTGTGCTAATTTTCTATTTTTTTATTCGAAAAGTTGAAAAAACGAAAAATTTCAAACTCAAAAAGAAAGGAAACATTGAAAAAGTAGAAATCGAGAAATTTAAAATTCAAAAAAGGTAATGAATCGAAAAATTGGAAAGAAGAAAAAACAAATCCAATCGAAAAATTGGAAAACCCAAAAATTGCAAAATCGAAAACTTATAGGATCGAAAAATTGAAAGATTACTAAAAGTGGAAAAATAAAAAAAGGGAAAACCTAAAAATCGAAAAATTGAAAAATGGTTTCCTATTTTTTTTTTTTTGTTTTTTCAACTTTAATTTATTCAGTTTCTCGACTTCCAAATTTTTAAAATTTGCAATTTTTCCTTTTTCGATTTTTCAATTTCTCAATTTTTAATTTTTCGATTTTTCATTTTTTCGTTTCCTTAATTTTTCAAGTTCTTGATTTTTATTTTTCATTTTCTCGATTTTATATCACAGTTTCTCGTTTTTCGTTATCTTTATTTTTTTCATTGTTTCTTTCGATTATATAATTTTGCGTTTGTTCAATTTTTCAAATTTTGAATCTTATTAGATTGTTGATTTTCCCGCTTTTTCACTTTTTAATGTTTTCAATTTCGCAATTTTTGGATTTCCAGTTCTACGATTTTCCTATTTCCTTAATTTTCAATATTTCGTTATTTCGATTTTGCACTTTTTCTATTTTTAAGTTTCTCAACTTTAATATTTCGAAAGTTTTCATTTCATACATTTTCGTTTTTTCATTTTTGACTTTACAATTTTGCAATTTTTTCACTTTATTTTTATACAAAAAGTTGAAAAATCGAAAAACTGAAAAAAACAGAAATTACAAAATCGGAAAAGTGGAAATTCGAAAAATTGCAAATCGAAAAACTGAAGAAAAGAAAAATTGGAACATTGAAAAACTAAAAATCGAGAAACTTAAAAATCAAAAAAGTTAATGAATCGAAAAATTGGAAAGAAGAAAAAACGAATCCAATCGAAAAATTGGAAAACCCAAATATTGTAAAATCGAAAAATTATAGGATCGATTAACTGTAACTTTGGAAGATTGAAATATTAAAAATAAAAAATTAAAAATCGAAAATTGAAATGAAAAAGTTTTAAAATCTAGTAATTGAAAAATTCTAAAATAATAAAAAATTGAAAAAACGAAAAATTGGAAAAATCGATAAACTGAAAAATCTAAAATTGAAAAAATAAAAAATTAACAAACCAAAAATTGAAAAAATTCATATTGAAAATCAGTAAAATTATAAAATCAGAACATTGAAAACTGAAAAACTAAAAAAAACCGAAACGAAAAATTTGCTGATCGAAAAATTGAAGATATGAAAAATTTATTGAAAAATCCAAAAATTAAAAAACTGAAACATCCAAAATTTGGAAAATCGAAAAATTAAAGATTTTGTAAAATTGAAGAAACAAAAAAAATTGTTCTTTTTTTTGTTTTTAAAAAATTGCAAATCGAAAAATTGAAAAAATTGAGGTTGAAAAAACAATAAATTATAAAATCGAACCATTGAAAAATTGTAAAAATAAGAAAACCAAAACCGAAATGAAAAATTGCAAATCGAAAATTTGAAGAAATGAAAAACTAAAGAATCGAAAAAATGAAAAATTAAAAACTGACAACTCGAGAAATTTTAAATCGAAATATTTCAAAAACTAGAAATTGAAGGAATCAAAAAAATGTGTAAATTGTCGTTTTTCATTTTTGATTTTTCAATTTTACGATTTTGCAATTTTCCATTTTTTTTATTCAAAATTTAAAAGATCGAGAAACTTAAGAATCAAAAAAAGTTAATGAATCGAAAAATTGAAAAGAAGAAAAAACGAATCCAATCGAAAACTGTAACACTGGAAGACTGAAAAATTTAAAAATTAAAAATCAAAAATTGAAAAATCGAGTAAATGAAAAAGTTTTAAAATCTAGTACATAATCGAAAAATGGAAAAATTCTACAATCAAAAAATTAAAGAAACGAAAAATTGGCAAAATCTAGAAAGTGAAAAATCTAAAATTGAAAAAACAAAAAATGAACAAACCAAAAATTGAAAATTTCACATTGAAAATCAGGAAAATTATAAAATTAGAACATTGAAAACCGAAAAATTGCTAATCGAAAAATCGAAGACATAAAAAATTTCTTGAAAAATCCAAAAATTAAAAAATTAAAAAACTGAAATATCTAAAAGTTGGAAAATCGAAAAATAAAAAATTTTAAAATGAAAACTGAAAAGGTGCATATAGTAAAATTGAAGAAACTAAAAAAAATGTTTTTTTGTTTTTAAAAATTGCAAATCGAAAAATTGAAAAAATTGAGATGCAAAAAACAAGAAATTATAAATCGAAACATTAAAAAATGATAAAAGTAAGAAAATCAAAACCGATACGAAAAATTACAAATCGAAAATTTGAAGAAATGAAAAACTAAAGAATAAAAAATGAAAAATTAAAAACTGACAACTCCAGAAATTTTAAATCGAAATATTTCAAAAACTAGAAATTGAAATAACAAAAAAATATGTAAATTTTTGTTTTTTCATTTTTGATTTTTCAGTTATAGGGTTATGCAGTTTTCCATTTTTTTTTTATTCAAAATTTAAAAAATCAAAAAATTGAAACATTGAAAAACTAAATATCGAGAAACTTAAATATCAAAAAACAGTTAATGAATCGAAAAATTGGAAAGAAGAAAAAACGAATCCAATCGAAAACTGTAACACTGGAAGTGTTAAGTTTGATGGATTATGAATAAGAGCAGCGGACAGTCGTTTTGTAGTTTTATTAAATAAATACAAGTGTGTTCTAGAGCGAGTATGATATTATGACCGTTAGGTCCAGAGATTGAATATAAAGAGTATGTTAACCGCTTGAAGAGTGCTTGAAGAGTGAATGATGAATAGTCAATGAATGAATAGTGAATGAATGATGTTCCCTGTGTTTCAAGGTGGTGGTGGCCCTGGCTCCCACCCTTACGGGTGGAGAGGGGTGAAACAGGTCCCCGCCAGAGGCACTAACAGGAAGATTGAAAAATAAGAAAATTAAAAATCAAAAATTGAAAAATCGGGTAAATGAAAAAGTTTTAAAATCTAGTAATTGAAAAGTTCTAAATTCATAAAATTGAAATATTTTAAAAATTGTAATTATTATTACATATTAAACTGAAAAATCTAAAATTGAAAAAACAAAAAATTAACAAACCAAAAATTGAAAAATTTCACATTGAAAAAAAGAAAAATTATAAAATTAGAACATTGAAAAACCGAAAAATTGAAAAAATAAAGAAAATAAAAATCGGAAAATTAAAAACTCAAAACTGCTGAAATTGCAAATCAAAAAATTGGAAAATCGAAAAAGGAAAAAGTGGAAAACCCAAATATTGTAAAATCAAAAAATTATAGAATCGAGAAACTAACACTGGAAGAAGAAAAATTGCAAAATTAAAAATCGAAAATTGAAAAATCGAGTAAATGAAAAAGTTTTAAAATCTAGTAATTGAAAAATGGAAAAATTCTAACATCATAAAAAATTGAAAAAACAAAAAATTAACAAACCAAAAATTGAAAAATTTCACATTGAAAAAAAAAGTTATAAAAACAGACCATTGAAAAACCGAAGAATTGAAAAATTGAAAAAAAAAGTTATAAAATTAGACCATTGAAAAACCGAAAAATTGAAAAAATAAAGAAAACAAAAAATTGTTAATCGAAAAACTGAAGACATGAAAAATTAATTAAAAAAACGAAAAATTAAAAAATCGAAGAATGTAAACTTAAAAACTAAAAAAATTGCAAATCTAAAATCTAAAGAAACAAAAAAAAAGAAGAATCGAAAAAAATAAGTAAAAAAAGCTGCGGGAGTGTTATTTCTGGTTCTTTACGGTTTTATAATTTTTATATTTTTATTATTTTTCAAAGAAACGGGATTTGCTAGGCGAGGGAAGTTCTGTCGAAATAACCTTCCACACGTTTTTTTTATGATATGTTTTAATAAAAAAACTGAAATAATTAGGCGGGTTTTTTTTTTGTTCAAAAAATTGCAAAATCGAAAAATTGCAAATCAAATAACTGAAGAAACGAAATATTGAAAAACTAAAAATCGAGAAACTTAAAAATCAAAAAAAGTTAATGAATCGAAAAATTGGAAAGAAGAAAAACGAATCGAATCGAAAAATTGGAAAACCCAAGTATTGTAAAATCGAAAAATTATAGAATTGAAAAACTGTAACACTGGAAGATCAAAAAATTGAAAAATTAATAATAAAAAAATTACAAATCGAAAAAACGGGTAAATGAAAAAGTTTTAAAATCTAGTAACTGAAAAATGGAAAAATTCTAAAATCATCAAATTGAAATACTTTAAAAATTGTAATTATTATTATTATTAGATTGTGGCGGCACAATAATAGCCAGGTAAGCGAAGTAAAGATAAGCCGCTCTGTAGCCTAGTGGTCAAGGCACCCGCCCGGCAAATGGGAGATGTGTGGTTCGTTTCCCACCAGGGCAGCAACATTTTTCTTCACTTACCTACAATATATTTAAAATGAAAACTAGAAAAATTGCATGTCAAAAATCGAAGAAATGAGTAATTGGAAAGTCAAGAAACTGAAAAATCTTAAATTGAAAAAAAGAAAAATTATAAAATCAGAACATCCAAAAACTGAAAAAATAATGAAAATAAAAACTGAAACGAAAAATTGCTAATCGAAAAATAAAAAAATTAAAAACTGAAAACTCCAAAAGTTGGAAAATAAAAAAAGGAATAATTTTAAAATGAAAACTCGAAAAGGTGCATATCCTAAAATTGAACAAACAAAAAAAAATATTTTTTTTTTGTTTTTGAAAAATTGCAAATCGAAAAATTGAAGGAATCAAATACTTAAGAATTGGAAAAATAAAGAAAATCAAAAACCGAAACGAAAAATTGCAAATCGAAGAATTTAAACTTACAAACTCAAAAAATTACAAATTTAAAATCTGAAGAAACAACAAAAAAAGAAAAATCGAAAAATTTAAGTAAAAAAAGCTGCAGGAGTGTTATTTCTGGTTCTTTATAGTTTTATAATTTTTATATTTTTATAATTTCACGGGATTTGCTGGGGAAGTTCTGTCGAAACAACCTTTGACCAGTTTTTTTTTTTTTTTTTTAATGATCGGCTCCAATGAAAAATTAAATGATTAGTAACTGTGTTAAGTAGTCGTCGATATTTGCCGCCTTGCTGAAACACGAACTATAAGTTGTCAAACATGCGTTACATCAGTTCATCAAGGGTAGTAAGCGGCAACGCAGACAAATTAAATTTGTAGAAATATGACAAAAATCTGTAATATTTTTGTATGTTTCAGAAATTCCAGCCGAACAATTAAGCATAGGCGAAATCTGCGTTTTCACTCACATTGAATCACCATCCGAGTTTTATATTCTTACCAATCAAGTGCTTCTCAACAGGTACCAGTCAATTACGTATGCGAACCGCAGACTAAACGCCTCATTTCAGCCTCGAAAACTCTCTAAACGAAGACATGAACAAACAACAATACGTCATCAACAAGTACAAATCAAAGGAACTAGCAAAAAATAGTTTAGGCAAATTCTGCACCGCGTTTTTTTCTGATACAAGACGATGGCACCGCGTGAAAATCCTCAACTGGATGGTAAATTAATCACAAATTTCCAACCAAATTTAAATTCGTAAATTCCAGGACGACGAACCTGAAACTATCTTAGTCCAGCTTATCGACTATGGCGAAAAATCGCACTTGAGTTACAAAAATGTTAAAAATATGGCCGAATTGTACGCCACGATCCCCAAAATGGCGACCAAGTGTCACTTCGCTGGTATTTATTCTGCGCATGCGCAGTTAACTAAATGGTCTACAGCAAGCGTGGATTTTTTTGTGAAGTTGAGTGAAATTAGAAAAAGGACGGAGTTTGTGGTTGCTTTTGCTCGTAGAGAAGGGTGAGGAGGTGGTGAAGGTGAGAACGGTGAATTATTTTCGGTTTCAGAAATTCGTACGGGGTAGACTTACGTAAAGAGAACGATCCAGAAGGTGATACTCTGGGGCAGATTTTGGTGAAAAGTGGTTATGCATGTGGAAGGGAACTTACAAACCACTTGGAAACTATTGCAGAAGAACATAGTGTTGAGGAACTGAAACGTGAAGAAGAGGTTTCCACAGAAAAAATTCTACAATGTCAATCATTTACCAAGGTCGTGTTACCTGCAGTAGGAGAATACGTGGACATTTTAATCACTGGATATGTTAATACGTGTCATTTTTACGCCCACGTGTTGTCTGAACGTGGCTCTAACTTATACAGTAAGTTGGTGGCTAGAGTTACATCTTTCGTACTGTGAAGGTGTTTCAGATCACGATTTCGAACAACTACATCACCATTTGAAAATGAACAACGTTGTAGAAAGTTACGAAAGTTTTAAAGTTAGTCCAAGAAAAGGGGAGGTCGTGTTAGTTAAAGAAAAACAAGATTGGTTTAGAGGTCTTTGTAAAGAAGGCGATGCTGACAATGAGTTTGACATATTTCTGGTAGATTTTGGCTACAGTGTGACGAAGAAATTGACTGATATTAGACAAATAAAGGAAGATTTTTTAAAAGTGCCTTTTCAAGTATAAAACAAACAAATGATTGAATTTTGTATTTTTTTTAATTTCGATTTTAGGCTGTTGAATGTATTTTAGACAATTGTCAGGAACGAAAAGGAGTTGTTGCTGACGTTTCCAAGAATTTTTTTCAAAATGTGATGAACATGCAAATTTTTCAAGGGCTTGTTTTGTATGTCGGTACTTTTGGTTGGTGGTTATAATGAAATTGATTTTTTAGGGGATCTGGTGAGCCATTGAGAGTACAAATATGGGACTCAAATGACATGGATATGACTCATGTTTTGAAGCGGTGGAGTCTAGGAGAAGATCGAGATGAGCACTAATTGATGTATAGATAGTCATGTCGTCCATTTTATTACCAATTGTTGAATCTGTTTTACGTTAAAATATATACAAGTTTATTTTGTAGATTTGTTTTTCGGTTTTTCGTGTTTTTGCTTCCCGAGCGCTAACCAAAATTTGTTTGATCATCTCCAGCAATAATACAATAACGTCATCTCCATTAATGTGATGTTTATTAAATTTTATAAAATAACTTACTTCTCTATTTGTGGTTTATGAATCCGTGTTGAATTTTTATCCTAGAAATCGATTTGGGAAAAAAATCGAAATTGTATAACAATTTTCGATTTTTAATTTTTTGATACTTCAATTTTGGGATTTTTTAATTTTTCGATTTTACAGTTTTCCAGTATTTCCGTTTTACGATTTTGTAATTTTTTGGGTTTTCGATTTCTCTTTCTTTCGATTATTCGACGTTTAAATTTTTTTCAGTTTCTCAATTTTTCGATATTTCACTTTGAAAATTTTTTAGATATTTGATTTTTCAATTTTTTGATTTTTTGATTACTTCATTTTTGGGATTTTTCAATTCTTCAGTTTCTCGATTCTTTAATTTTTCAATTTCTCAATTTTCTAATATTTTCTTTTTAAGATTTTCCTAATTTTTCGATTTTCAATTTTTTGATTTTTCGACTTTTAGATTTTTTGATTTTCTCATTTCTCGATTTCTAGACTTTTTATCTGTCAGTTTTTCGATTCTTCAATTTTTCTCTGATTTGTCATCTTACTGATTTATCAATTTTTAGATATTTCAGTTTCTGTGCTTTCAATTTTTCAAAATTTCGATTATTTAATTTTTCAATTTTTTGATTTTTTAATTTTTCCATTTTTAAAATTACATATTTTTCGACTTCTTCATTTTAACTTTGGATTTTTAAATTATTTAATTTGTTTCGATTTCTCAATTTTTCAGTTTCTCTACGTTCTGAATTTTCGATTTCTCAGTTTTTCGGCTTTTCGAATTTTTGATTTCTCGATGTTTTGATTTTTTAATTTTTCGGTTCTTCAATTTTTCGATTTTTCATTTTTTAGATTTTTTAAATTTTAGATGTTTCGATTTCTCGAATTTTTGCTTTTTCAGTTTCTAGATGTTCCGGTTTTTCAGTTTTTCTGTTTTTTAATATTTCAATTTTTCCCTTTTTCCATACGTCAATTTTTTGATTTTTCGATTTGTTTTTTTTTAATTTTTCGATTTTTCAGTGTTTTGATGTTTCGATTTTTCAGTCTTTTTATTCATCAATTTTTGAATTTTAAATTTTTTTATTTCTAGTTTTTTTTTATATTTCAGTTTTGGGATTTTAGATTATTATTAATGCTTCGATTTCTCGTATTTTTGATTTTTCAATTTTTAAAATTTTCCGGTTTTTCAATTTTTCTATTTTTTAATTTTTCAATTCTTCAGTTTTCGATTTCTGGGTTTATCGAAATTTCGATGTTGCAATTCGTCGATTTTTCCATATGTTAATATTTTGATTTTTATATCTATCGTTTTTTTTTATTTTTCATTTAATTTTTCAACTTTTTGATGTTTCGATTTTTCAGTCTTACGATTCATCAATTTTTCGATTTTTAAATTTTAGATTTTTTGATTTCTCGTTTTTTTTTTTTTATTTTTCAGTTTTTAATTTTTCTTAATTTTTTTCAGTTTATCGTTTAATCAATTTTTTGATATTTCAGTTTTTGGATTTCAAATTACTCAATTTTTCGATTTCTCATATTTTTGATTTTTCAGTTTTTAGATTTTCCGGTTTTTCAATTTTTTAATTTATCAACTCTTTGTTTTTGGACTTCTGGATTTATCAAAATTCCGATGTTTCAATTTTTCGATTTTTCCATATGTCAGTTTTTTGATTTTTCGATTTATCGTTTTTTTTTAATTTTCCGATTTTTTGGTTTTTTGATGTTTCGATTTTTCATTCTTTCGATTCATCAATTTTTCTTAGATTCTTGAGTTTTTCAGTTTATTGATTTATTAATATTTCGATATTTCAATTTTGGGACTTTTCAACATTTCGATTCTGCTATTTTTCGATTTTTCAGTTTTTCAAAATTTCAATTATTTAATTTTTAGATTTTCCAATTTTTCGGTTCTTTTATTTTTTGACATTTTAATTTTTCCATTACATATTTTCCATTTCCATTACATATTTTTAGATTTCTCTGTTTTAACTTTGGATTTTAAAATTTTTTATTGTTTCGATTTCTCAGTTTTTCGGTTTTTCGGCTTCTCGACTTTCGATTTCTCGATCTTTTGATGTTTCGATTTCTCGATTTTTCAATTTCTGTACGTTCTAAATTTTGATTTCTCGGTTTTTCGACTTTTCGGCTTTTCGATTTTATTGTTTTATTTTAGATTTTTTAGTTTTTAGATTGTTCGGTTTTTCAATTTTTCGAGTTCTCGATTTATCGAGATTTCGATGTTTCAATTTTTCGATTTTTTCAAATGTCAATTTTTGATTTTTCGATTTTAAGAAAAACTTAAAAACGAATAACTTTTCTGGTTTTTAATTTTTCTTACATTTTTCAATTTTTCAGTTTATTGATTTATCGATTTTTCGATATTTCAGTTTTGGAATTTTTCAACAATTCGATTATTTTTTACAATTTCGATTATTGGATTTTTAGATTTTTGTATTTTTTGACATTTTAATTTTTCCATTTTTTAAATTTTATATTTTTCGATTTCTCTGTTTTTCCATTTTTCAGTTCTTCGATTTTTTAAATTTTTCGAATTTTTAAATTTTGGATTTTGCAATTTATTTAATGTTTCGATTTTTTAATTTTTCGATTTTTCGGCTTCTCGACTTTCAACTTCTCGATTTCTCGAAATTTTGATGTTTCGATTTCTCGATATTTCGAATTTTCTATTTCAATTTTTTTATTTTTCGGCTTTTCGATTTTTTGATTTTCCAAATTCTCAATGTTTGGAGTTTTCAATTTTTCGGTTTTTCAATTTTTAGATGTTTTAAAAATAAATTTTAAATTATTTGATTTTTTGATTTTGCAGTTTCTATATTTTCGACTTTTTCAATTTTTCGATTTCTGGTTTTATCGAGATTTCGATGTTTCAATTTCCCACTTTTTTTTAATTTTTCGATTTGTTTTTTTTTTAATTTTTCAGTTTTTAATTTCTCGATTTTCCAATCTTTCGATACTTCAATTTTTTTACATTTTAATTAATCGGTTTGTAAATTTTAAATTTCGATTGCTTGATTTGTCGTTTTTTTTATTTTTCGGTTTTAAGATTATCTGGTTTTTATTTTTTCGGTTTTTCAATTTTTCAATTTCTACATTTATCCAAATTTCGATGATTTGATTTTTCGATTTCTCGGTTTTTAGATTTGTCGACTTTCCTTTTTAATTTATTTATGGATCTTTCAATCAGATTATTGGACTCTTTAATTTTTCGATTTCCCAATTTTTCGAGATTTCTTTCAGTTTTGGAAATTTTAATTACTCGATTTTCCAGTTTTCGATTCTTCAATTTTTCTTATATTTTTCAGTCATTTAGTTTATCGATTTATCAATTTTTTGATATTTCAGTTTTGGAATTTTTCAACATTTCGATTCTGCTATTTTTTAATTTTTCGTTTCGATTATTCAATCTTTTTTGAATTTCGATTAATCAATTTTTCGATTCTTCATTTGTTCGATTTTCAATTTTTTGACTTTTCGGTTTTTAGATTTTTTGATTTTCTCATTTTTCGATTTCTCGACTTTTTGATGTTTTGTTTTCTATTGTTGGATGTCTCGATTTCTCGATCTGTCAATTTTTCAATTCTTCAATTTCTCTTAGATTTTTCAGTTTTTCAGTATCGATTTATCAATTTTGAGATTTTGCAACATTTCGATTCCATTTTTCGATTTTTCGTGTCGATATTTCAATTTTTCAAAATTTCAGTTACCTATTTAATTTTTAGATTTCTCAATTTTTCGGTTTTTCGACTTCTGGATCTTTTGATGTTTCGATTCTTCAACTTTTCCAAGTTGCGCATTTTTGATTTCTCAGTTTTTCGACTTTTGGATTTTTTGTTTTCCCAATTTCTAGATGTTTCGATTTTTCAATTTTTCGGTTCTTCAATTTTTCAATTTTTGGATTTTCGGATTTTTTAAATTTTAGATTATTCAATGTTTCCATTTCTCGTATTTTTGATTTTTCAGTTTTTAAATTCTCCGGTTTTTCAATTTTTCTATTTTTTAATTTTTCAATTTTTCGATTTTTCCATATATGACTTTTTTGATTTTTCCATTTATCATTTTTTTAATTATTCAATCTTTCGTTTCATCAGTTTTTCGTTTTTTTTTAAATTTCGATTTTTTGATTTGTTGTTTTTCTTGATTTTTCAGTTTTAATATTTTCTGGTCCTCAATTTTTCTTAGATTTTTCAGTTTTTCAGTTTATCTATTTATCAGTTTTTCGATATTTCAGTTTTGGGATTTTTCAACATTTCGATTCTGCTACTTTTCAATTTTTGGTTTCGATTTTTCTATTTCTTTACAATTTCGATTATTGGATTTTTAGATTTTTTATTTTTTGACATTTTAATTTTTCCATTTTTGAAATTTTATATTTTTCGATTTCTCTGTTTTTCCATTTTTCAGTTCTTCGATTTTTCAATTTTTCGAATTTTTCAATTTTGGATATTGCAATTTATTTAATGTTACGATTTTTTAAGTATTCGATTTTTCGGCTTCTCGACTTTCCATTTCCCGATTTCTCGAATTTTTCAAATTTTCGATTTCAATTTTTTTATTTTTCTGTTTTCCACTTTTCGGCTTTCCGATTTTTTCATTTTCCAATTTCCAGATGTTTGTTTTTTTTTATTTTTCGTTTCGATTATTAAATTTTTTGAATTTCGATTATTCAATTTTTTGACTTTTCGACTTCTAGATTTTTTGTATTCTCATTTTTCGATTTCTCGACTTTTTGATTGTTGGATGTCTCGATTTATTGATCTGTCAATTTTTCGATTCTTCAATTTTTCAGTTTTTCAGTTTAATCGATTTATCAATTTTGAGATTTTTCAACATTTCGATTCTATTTTTCGATTTTTCGTGTCGATATTTCAATTTTTCAAAATTTCGGTTATTTAATTTTTAGGTTTTCGGTCCCTCAATTATTTGACATTTTAATTTTTCCATTTTTTAAATTTCTGTATTTTAACTTTCGATTTTTAAATTTTTTAATGTTTCGATTTTTCAGTTTTTCGGTTTTTCCGTTTCTGGACTTACAACTTCTCGATCTTTTGATGTTCCGATTTCTTACATTTTTGATTTTTAGTTTCTAGATTTTCGGCTTTTTCAATTTTTCGAAACTTTAATTTTTCAATTTCTCAATTTTCCGATTTCTGGTTTTATCGCGATTTCGATGTTTCGATTTTCCGATTTCTCGCTTTTTAGATTTTTCCACTTTCCCACTTAATTTGTGGATCTTCCAATTTTTAGATGATTCGACTCTTCAATTTTTAGATTTCCCAATTTTAAGAGATTTCTTTCAATTTTGAAATTTTTAGTTAGGTACACGATTTTCCAATTTTTCTTGACATTTTCCTTTACGATTTTTAAAACTTTTCGGTTTTTGACTTTCTGATTTTTCGAGTTTTCGATTTCTCAATTTGCAAAATTTCAATTTTGAAGTTTCGATTGCTCTATGTTTCGATATTTCGGTTTTCCAATTTCTCGATTTTTAAAATTTTTTGATTTCTCGATTCACAACCAAACAATACTTTTGACAATTATCCCAAAATATGGTAAAAAATAAAAAAAAAATGGTATATTTTACCAGTTATGGGGTTGCTGGCGTCCGGATAAAAATTTCAGTCATTTGATTCAATACTAAAGTAGGCAACCCAAAATACAGAACAGTAATTTTATTAAACATTTATTAGCATCTTAATCTAGCCTTCGTGCCAGCTGTTATTATTGTTGTTACCTTTCTTATTCAGCTGTTGTTATTATTTATAACTTTCGTTCCGTTTCTGTTAGACTGGGACCATAGGGACCCTAACAACTCCTAAAAAATCATCTTTGCTAGGGATTTTGTACCCTCAGTGTGCCAGCCCTGCTCTTACGTCACCCGCACGCGCACACGCCCATATTGTCTTCCAGTGACGCCACCTGGCCAGACGCCATTTTGCATCGTGCGCCAGTAGAAGAGAAAATCTGCAGCCAATTTTTGCCGCCCAGCAGTGCAACTTCGCAGCAAATTCTCCGTTAACCAAGACCCCCAAAGTCCGCCAATATAGAAGGATCTCAAGGTAGGTGAATCCCGATCCCGCGCCCTTTTTCCCCCCGTTTTGCTTGTTTTAACGTTCGTGATCGATGATGACGCCCGGATGGAGAGCCGGTCAAAGAGCACATTTTTTCTGAGAGTTGACTTTGGTTTACTGAAAATCGTCATCGGGCCGAGTTTGTCTGTAGATTTAGCTGGTTTGAGCGAAAATCCGCTTGGTCGGGTGGTAAGTGTGGGACGCCGACGACAGCCGCCATTGTTCGTGGGATTCGCGATCGATATGAAAAGGGGCGATTCGTGCCGGAATTCGAGGATTTCGGGGGTTCGCGGGATGAGCAAGGGCTTCGGAATTTCTAAATTTAACTGTTTTGTAAACATGTTGTGTGGTTTTTTCGGCCAATGGGAGGCGGCGAAATTCGCGCGTCGTACGAATTTCCAAGGCCGACTGGGACAGTCCCTTCGTTCGTTGCTGTGTTGATGCTAAATTTATTCATGCATTAACAATAATTACATTGAACCAATTCTGGATTTATAGCGGTGGGTGTTTAGAACGTTTCAATTGTGGGAGTGCGAATGACGAGATTCTTGTCAAAAGTTATTTTAGAACATTTTATAGACCAGAAATGTACAGTGTGACAACCACGCAGTTCTAGAATTAATTATGTCAAAAAAATCCTGGAAAAATTTCGTTAGCTTACTTGATCTTTAATTTTGTGGGCGATATTTATTCGTTGGTGACGTCAACTTTTTCGTGATGACGTCATACTTTTTTTTTCACTAGGTTGGTATTATATTTTTCGCCGGAAATGGATCTTTTATTTTTAATTAATACGCTTTTACATGTTTGACCGCAGTGCCAACATAATTATTTTAAAAATTAATTTCATGGCCTACTAGAAGACCTTTTTTCGTTCATATGATATATTCTGATGTGGAGGTAAATGGTGCATGGAAATTTTATCAATCCGAGGAGAAATGCCAAAATGGGTTTTAGAATTTTAATGCTTGTTCTTTGTCTAACACATTAGTTGTATTCGTTTCCTTCTGATCACGGTACACTTTTTTTTTATTATTTTAAGTTTTGTTTCTTATGCCGTCTGAAATTAGTACCGGGTGATTCTCAAGATTTCTGCTCTAGTTAACCATGACTAAAGTACTTTATTATATAAACAGACGTATCCGCCATATTGAATCTCAGAATTTTAGTGGCAAATTTGAAATCTAGTAATATTCCAGTTGATTATTCCTAGTATTGAACGTCACCACTACCATCAGAAACAATATTTGTTTTGTCATTAGTTGTTTAAAGTTCATATTGCGATTATATTTGAAAATTTGTTAGGTATACATTTTTCACACAATTGGAATAAATAGATGTGATTAATTTTTTTAAATCGGACTGACGATGAAAAAATTCCACGATTATATTTTTTAAATTCGCTTATTTTAATATTTTTCATAATTAAATAATACTTTATTACATTGCTTTGGATATACAGGGTGCTGAAAAAATGGCGCACCAACTCAACGGTACGTTATTAAGTTCACAAGTCGTAAGTTTGGGAAAAATCATAAAAGAATTCCTTACGTCAATTTGACGTTCACTTACAGAAACAAAATATCTATTTAGACCGTAAAGTCAAAAAACTCTAAAATTTAGCCACACTTGTTCAATTCATCCTAAACAATTTTTAAGTTTAAATGATTTCAAGTATCCAACACCAAGTGGTGGATTAGAATATGGTGAAATATTGAAAATAAAACTTTAATTTTGAAGAATTTTCAACATTTGGGCCCAAGAATTTTTTAAATTATTTTTTCTGTGTTCTATAAACAGTCCCCAACAACGTGTCACAGAGTTGATACGCTATTTTTTAACACCCTGTATAGTTAAACATGGCGACTTGATTACATTTTTCCTGTTTTTATCGCTCTCGGTTTGACAGACAGCTGCCTACTTTTTTTTTTAATGGAACACCCAGATTTTTTTCGCATTTTTTGAAGCAGAATAAAAAACTACTTTCAGAAATTATCAACATGTTTATTTCCACTGATACAGAAAATTGAAAAAATTGGTCAAGTTTTTACAATATTAATATGGGCAAAATCAGTTTTATCTTAACAAATACTAGTCCCGCCCACCCGCCCCCTATTTTCCCAGACGTCATTTGCCGAAATAAGTCTTACCTTAGCAAGTACTAGCCCTGCCCGCCCACCCTTTACTTTCTTAGAGGGTGTCATTTGCCAAAATCAATCTTATGTTACCAAGTACTAGTCCCGCCCACCCGCCCCCTGTTTTCTCAGAGGATATGTCATCTGCCAAAATAGGACTTATGTTAACAAGTATCAGCCCCGCCTACCCACCCTTTATTTTGTCAGAAGATAGTACTTGCTAAGATAAGTCTTATTTTGGCAAATCACATAGCCTATGAGAAAATAGGGGTGGGTGGGCGGGCCTAGCACTTGTTCAGATAAGACTAATTTTGGAAAACGCCATGCCCTCTAAGAAAATAGAGGGCGGGTGGGTGGGGCTACTAGTATTTGCTAAGATAAGACTGATCTTGGCAAATGCCATGTCCTCTGAGAAAATAGAGGGCGGGTGGGCGGGGCTAGTACTTGCTAAGATAAGACTGATCTTGGCAAATGCCATATCCTCTGAGAAAATAGAGGGCGGGTGGGTGAGGCTACTAGTATTTGCTAAGATAAGACTGATCTTGGCAAATGCCATGTCCTCTGAGAAAATAGAAGGCGGGTGGGCGGGGCTAGTACTTGCTAAGATAAGACTGATCTTGGCAAATGCCATATCCTCTGAGAAAATAGAGGGCGGGTGGGTGAGGCTACTAGTATTTGCTAAGATAAGACTGATCTTGGCAAATGCCATGTCCTCTGAAAAATAGAGGGCGGGTGGCCGGGCCTTGCACTTGTTCAGATAAGACTGATTTTGGCAAACGCCATACCCTCTGAGAAAATAGAGGGCGGGTGGGTGGCGCTAGAACTTGCTAAGATAAGACTGATTTTGGCAAATGCCATATCCTCTGAAAAAATAGAGGGAGGATGGGCGGTGCTACTAGTATTTGCTAAGATAAGACTGATCTTGACAAATGCCATGTTCTCTGAGAAAATAGAGGGCGGGTGGGCGGGGCTAATACTTGCTAGGATAAGATTGATTGTGGCAAATGCTATATCCTCTGGAAATGAATAAAAAGTAAAAACATCTGAAAATTTAGTTTCTAATTTTCAATTTTTGGATTTTTCGGTTTTTCAAAATTTCGGTTCGAATAAATTTGTTTTTAGTTAAAAAATCGAAAAATGAATCGTGAAAAAGAAAAATTGTAACTTGAGAACTTGAAAAATTTAGAAGCAAAAAATTCCAAAATTGTCAATCAAATTATCAAATGAAATATTCCAAAGTTGAAAAATCTAAGAACCAAAAAAAAATGAAAACTAGAATTTCGAATACGATTTTTTTTTTAATTTTTCGATATTTCAGTTTCTGATTTTCCGATTCTACAGTTGTACAATTTTCGATTTCTTATTTATCCGATTTTTCAATTTGTCATTTTTTAATTTTTAGCAAGTACTGCCCCACCCACGCAGCCTTTATTTTCTTAGAAGAATAAGTCATCTGCCAAAATCAGTCTTATATTGGCAAGTACTAGCCCCCGCCCACCCTCCCTTATTTTCTTAGAGAATATGTCATTTGCCAAAATCAGTCTCATCTTGACAAGTACTAGCCCCGCCCACCCACCCTTTATTTTGTTAGAAGAGTGGGTCATCTGCCAAAACCAGTGTTATCTTGACAAGTAGGTACTACCCCCGCCCACCCACCCTTATCTTCTTGAGGATCTGTCATTTGCAAAAATCAATCTCATACTTGCCAAGATAAGACTGATTTTGGCAGATGACATATCTTCTAAGAAAATAAGGGAGGGTGGGCGGGGCTAGCACTTGCTAAGATAAGACTGATTTTGTCGCTATTAAACTTCCGTTTTCGATTTAATCAATAAAATAAATTGACTCATTTCAGTCATCAATTTTTTTGATCCACTTGGATAAACAAACCTAAAAAATATGAATGCAATGATAAATCACAAATAAAAACTCATCATATTTTGCACACTTCGGGTAAATTTAGGATTTTAACTCGTTACTATGGAAATTTACAATTTAACACCTTAAATTTCACAAATTTTACAAGATTAAAAGGGGGAAAATCGGTTTCATCTTAACAAATACTTGGCTCGCCCACCCGCCTCCTATTTTCCCAGAGAATGTCATTTGCCAAAATCAGTCTTATCTTACCAAGTACTAGTACCGCCCACCCACCCCCTATTTTCTCGAAAGGATGTGTCATTTTCCAAAATAAGACTTATGTGAGCAAGCACTAGCCCGGCCCACCCGCCCGTTATTTTCTCAGAAGTTAGTACTTGCTTGAGAAAAACAAGGGCGGGTGGGCGGGGTTAGTACTTGTTCAGATAAGACTGATTTTGGCAAATGACATCCTCTGAGAAAATAGGGGTGGGTGGGCGCGGCTAGGACTTGTTAAGATAAGACTGATTTTGGCAAATGACAAACTCTGAGAAAATAGGGGCGGGTGGGCGGGGCTAGCACTTGCTAAGATAAGACTGATTTTGCCTCTATTGAACTTGTAAAAACTTGTTAAATTTAAAAGGTGTTAAATTGGATATTTCCATAGTAACGAGTTACATTCCTAAATCTGTCAACAACTCAGTTATTCATTTTTCTGAGACACCCTGTATAAGCAAATTAAAAAAAATATATAAATTTTTTCTATTTTTTGTATCATATTGAAAATTTCTGAAATTAGTTTTTTATTCTGCATCAAAAAATGTTAAAAAAATCTGGGGGTTCCGTTAAAAAAAGTATGCAGCCTTGTGTGTCAAACCGAAAACGATAAAGAACGGAGAAATATTGTGATCAAGTCGCCATGTTGAACTATATATCCACACAAAATTTCCAAAAAAAGCTTTTTAAATAAAATTATTCAATCATTTATACTTTATACTAACCCTGCAATCCCTGTATGTATATATATTTTTATTAAATTATATAATTTTGTCGGGAGTAAATAAAAATTTATAATAAGCATAACTAAAATTAACATCAATTTACCACATTGGTCTAAAAATTATTATATTCATAACGAGCGATCAAATAAAAAATACCTCTAGTTCTCGATTCTCAAATGTTTTCTGAACGTATGGCGTAGCTTACCGTCGTAACAATAATTTGAGATTAGATCGAATAGTGACAGAACGAGTTTGACACTGACGTATGTACGTCGTAGGATGTCAGCTACGGCATACGTTAAAAAAACATTTGTGCATCGAGTAGTAACTAGGTGTTTTATTTTTGACCGCACGTTATAATAGAGGCAAGAGAACTAAAATTTGTTCCATTTACTTTAAATTTTTTTGTTTTTCTGTACATGATTTTCCTCTTTTATTCTCAGTTTGTTTAAGTTTTTCAAGTTCACCATTTTCTAAACGTAGTGGTGCAGTATCAAATAAAATATCAAATGACCTACTTGCAAATAATTGTTCCTAAAAATTGTTGTCAAGTGCTACTTTGAAAACATAAATTTGTCAATTCGGATGTGTGTCTTTTCATCTGAACAAACCTCTCGAAAAAATACTTGCGTAAGCTAATTTTAGTCCTGTTTTTAGACGACATTCTGCGTATGTACGTATAGGCAAACACTTGAAGTTAAAAGCTTGTTATTATTGCTGAGAGGCCATATTTTTCCTGTTGGTTACCTGCTTTAAATTTATTTTATATTGTTGGTACTTGTGCGATTTGCGCTCCCATGACGCAGGGGTGGTTATTTATTCCGCTGGTTTTTATTTTATAGAGGTTATGGCAAAATCTACTTTTACAATTTTTCAAAGGCGCTGGACTTGTACTTTAGAAGCGAGAGAAGTTGTGTCGAAATAAAATTGGACCAATTTTTCTAATTTTCCTCTGCACTATTGATAACTTTTGGGATATTAACAATAGTAGGGATAGCATAAAGTGCTGCTTTCTGTCTACCGTAGATTTTGTTCAATTCGAATTGCGTTTGTTCAAACCATATTATAGCAATTTTTTAATGTCTAACGATTTTCACTAATATAATGCACAGAATTGCAACGATAGCATCAACAAATTAAATATTACACGAAACTTTATATGAAACACAAAAAAACACTGAACACCAAAATTAAGTTAGCCGAGTTGATCTGCCAAGTACCAACAGCTAAATGCGCCAAAAAATGTATAGGTACCAACCTAACACTTCAAAACCTTACAGCGTGAAAGTTCCGAAGATGCAAACTTTTATTGCTTGTGTCTGCATGTATAATGTAGTACTTTAGTCATGGCCAACTAGAGCAGAAATTTAAAAAATCACCCGATACATATATATATGATTAAAAAATATATATGGAGCAGTGTTGGTTTCTGTTATTTACAGAAAATGTGGACTTTTTTTAGTTATTTGATGCATGCTTTTATGTTTAACACCTTTTTACATTTAAGATCGAAATAAAATGAATAGTGTTGTATCGATTTTTCGACTTCCGTTTGGTACTCGTTTGTAAAATTGGATTTTAAGGGGTGGTACGCGTAAACGATGGCGTTTGGTCGTCGGGGTCGCTCCGCCGTTGTGAGCCGGTAGTCTCAAGTAATGGATCAAAGAAAATGGTAGAAAGAATGGTTGATCAGTGACGTCGTCGCGTGATCTCCCAATTGTCATGTTACTAAAGTCGGAGTTTCAGGCCGAACAAGCTGTACCGGAAGCGCAGCGATGCCGGGTTTTAGCAGTGCGGGAACGTTCAAAATATTTATCGGCAACCTCGCCGAGAAAACGGCGGTGACGGACCTCCGTCCCCTGTTCGAGAAATACGGGAAGGTGGTGGAATGCGACGTCGTGAAGAATTACGGGTTCGTTCACATGGAGAACGAATCGGAAGGTCGCGAGGCGATACAAAATTTGAACGGCCACATGCTCAACGGCCAGCCAATGAAGTGCGAGGCGGCGAAGAGCCGCAAGGCCCCGCAGACGCCGACCACGAAAATCTTCGTCGGCAACCTGACGGATAACACCAAAGCACCGCAAATTCGCGAACTGTTCAAAAAGTACGGAACGGTGGTGGAGTGCGACATCGTCCGGAACTACGGGTTCGTGCACCTCGAGTCGTCGGGCGACGTGAACGAAGCGATCAAAGAGCTGAACGGCACGCTGGTGGACGGGCAGCCGATGAAGGTGCAGGTGTCGACGAGTCGCGTGCGCCAGCGGCCGGGAATGGGCGATCCCGAGCAGTGCTATAGGTGCGGACGCGGCGGACACTGGTCGAAGGAGTGTCCCAAGGGGATGGGCCCGGAGCGATTCCGCGACCGGATGTTCGGTAGGGATCCATACCCGCCGCCGCCGCCGCCGCCATTCCTGCGCGACCGGATGATGGGCCGATTTGGGGTACTTACCAATACTTATTACTTTTTTTTTATATTTCTTTCTTTTTTTCCATTATCCTTATTTGTGTTACATTTACTTACAGCAGCTGAGAACATACCCACTGTACTTTATTTATGTGAATCTTTACAAAACTGTGTGTCGATCTAGTGTGTACGCACTGCTCGTCGACAGCCGCCGACGATGTCTTGTGGCGAGCTCTGTGCTTGTTGGTTGTACTTACTGCTGACGCTTCATGGATCACTACCACGCTGAAAAGACGACGCGAGTTGTTGGGTTCTCTGAATTATGATGTGCATCCTACCGAACTGCGCCACTTTCGCGGCCTCATTAGGCAATTTTTGTCCCGAAAAAATTTCAGTATTCTTGCTTAGCATTTTAAGTCAGGACTCAGTAATTCTAACAAAAATCCATGACAAAAAGAAAGAGAAATCGAAAGTTTTTGGCTGTTTCACAGCATAGGGCGAAAGAACCTGATATGAAACTAATCTTCACTTATTCATTCCATCATAATTCAAGAATCTAACCCAGACCTGCGAAAATTTCCAGATCGGACGCTCATGTTATTAACATGCGCCATCTGTTTGCAGTGCTGCCGATTAATTCACTTCCAAGTATTCTAAATTGGGGCTGTACACACTTTTCCAATACGTATAATACCGTTTTTTTTTTTCGAACACACGAGAAATGTTTGTGGTGGCAGCACTGCGTGTCACATCTCGCTCCCGCCAATCAGCACGGTGCAATCGCCCCCTCGATTGCATCCTGCTCCAGTCCGCCCCTGGTTCTAATTCTCTTTTGCTTTACAACAGGACGGCTACGATGGCTACTACGACCGGCGTTTCGAGGAGTCTCGCGATCTGTACGAGCGCAGGTATTCGGGGCTGCCACCGAGGGGCGACATGGGGATGCGAGGAGGCAGAGGTGACTTCCTGCCGCCGCCGTTGCCGCCACGTCGGGAGCCTTTGCCACCGATGCCGTCCATCGGCCTCCGGGGACCGCCGTCGAGCAGCATGAGCGGAGGAATAAGGGACTCCAGTTTCGCCAGAGGCGGCAACGATTACGGTATGTTCAGTAGGAGGAGTCCGCAGCCTTCTGGGGGCGGCATGCCGGGCTCGATGAGGAGTAGGATGTATGAGGACTTCAGTAGGGACTCGTTTGATGACAGAAGGTAGGTTAGGAGGGCGGAAAAGGTTTGAGTGTCTGCTAGTACAGAGTTGAAAGGTTTGTAGTGGACATCGCCCTTTGCGTTGTTTTTGTGATCTTTGGTGTAGCGTCTCGATGTTTCCGTGAGGTGTGTTACAACTGTGTTTCTTTTTGTTGCAGGGTGGATAACAGAGGACCATCGCCTTCAAGACGATACGCCCCTTATTAATTAGCTTTATTAAGGATAAGAAAATTTTTTCTTTTGTATGATTTTTCTTGATTTTAGTTCGTGAGGGTGTTGTGGGGGGTGATATTTCCCCATGGGTGATTGTTATGTACAACTCATACATACATAGTGTGTAGATTCAAATAGTGTCATGGTAGCCAGTTTTGTATACCTACAAATCACTAATGTAATGATTTCATACATAATTCAAAATCTTTATCCTATTGTTTTTTTTTTATAAGTTTTTATTGTGTATTCAGCGTAATTTCAGAGTGTTTTAATCCGTCGGGTAAATGTGACAGAGTTCATTTGTTTGTACACTTGAAGAGAGAAATAAAGTAGAAATTACACTCGATGTTTTTTTTTTTTTTTAATAGGATTACTCGAAGTGAGTGAAGTGTTTTTGTGTATCAAGAAAAGTAATACTTGATTGGTTGAGAAATGCATGCATCAAGGTGGCTTTAAAATTTCGGTAATTGTGCCGCCTCGTTGTGATATTGACGACTACTCGTCGCCTGTCAGAAATGTCAAATCATAACCTAACTGTAAAAATGGGTGCCATTTTAAATACTTGTTGTGGGATCGCCTGATTGCATACAACTAAGGAATGTAACATTTACACAATATTCGTATTTATGTTAATTTAGATTGTAGTAAATTGTTAGATGAATAGGGAGCGGCGAATTCTTATTAAAAATGTCGACAGATTTTCCAGAATCAACTTGATGTACGATCTTTTATAATCACCCAGTATAATTCCAATAAAAAAGCATTAGTGATGGTTGTAGTTTATTTTCTTTCCCAAGACTGCGTTTACCATGTTTAAACTTCAAATGTCGCCTTCGTATTTTCATAAACAGCATCCTTTGTTCCATGGAGGTAGAACTCCGTTCACGTTGACAAGTCCCAGTTTTTCAGTTTGCTTTTTCTGCCAGTAGTAGCTCAATTTTAGTCCTCTGAAATTAAATAATTTTTGTTATTACAAAAAATTGATAAACATTTATAAATTCGCCCGTGTTAAAAAGTGGTGTGATTAAAAAATGTGATTGAAAATTTTTGAAAAAAATCTTTAGTTGTTTTCTTTGTCCACGTATCTATTTATAAATGTGATCTAAAATATTTTTTTCAAATGATATTCAATGTTTAAAAAACGTTTGGCATCAACAAACAATTATTTTTGATATGTAGAAAATAAAAGTTTAAGGTTTTCAGAATTCTCCATCCAAATATTTCGTCAGACCTCCTGTGTAAGCACTTCTAAGTAATATAAAAAAATAGCAAGTTTTTATATTTCTTGATCTGATGTCATCAGTTTTCCAAAATGAATTCTGCAGTCCCTCTATATGTAATATGAGACAAAATAAAGTTTGATGATTTGAATTTTGTGTTTCTGTTAATATCGACTTTTGGTTTTACCAAATATTACTATTAATTATGTAATTATTTAACTCAAAAACCATTTTCGTGGTCTTCCTGATTAATAAATTTATAGTCTGTTGTTTTCGGTGGTAATTAATGTCTCCTTCGCCCCTGAAGTACAATTTGATTAAAAAAATGGGACAAGAAGAGAAAATCAGGTATATGAGAAAACAATGAAAAGCAATGGGAATCAAACAATTCCAGTTAAAAAAAATTAGGTAGGTATATTATAATTGCAAAATCGATATTTCCCTATACAAATTTACCATTTTAAAAATGTTTCAAGTTACTTGTGAAAAGGTGACTACACATAATAAGAAAAACAGGCAAAATCTGGCCCCGCCCACCCACCCGGTCTCAATTGTGATGATTTTTTTTATTCATTGTGAGACAAGAGGGAGGAGCTTATCTGCAAAATCCTTATTTCTCATGTTTTTGAGTGTCGTGTTGTTCAAAGAATACTATGTATATTGAGGAAAAAATTAAAGCCACAGATTAAGCCCCACCCATACCTGCCCCCATCTAAACATGTAATAATGAAGTTTTCATTCGGTGCCAGACCTAGGGGCGGAGCCTAATTGCAGAATCCATATTTCCCTCATCACAAATGAGATTGGGTGGGTGGGCGAGGTCTATATTTTCCCCTTTTTTCCAAATATACATATTATTCTTCGAACAACACGATACTCAAAAATATGTTTTTAATTTATTGTAAAGAAATAAGTATTTTGCAGTTAAGCTCCACCCTCTTGGTTCACGGCGAATAAAAAAAAATATCACAATTCAGATAGGGCGGGTGGGCGGGCTTACATTTTGTCTTTTTGTTTTAATATGTGTAGACTTCTTTTTACAACATGAAACTTAAATATCGATTTTTCAATTAGGCATAACTGTAAAATCCATATTTCCTTACAAAAATGTACTATTTTAACCATGTATTAAGTTTCTTGTTGTGAAAAGATGGCTATGTATAAAGAAAAAAAGGTTAAATATAATTATACACAATTCTATTTTGCAAATTTTTTTTTAAACCTAAGTTAAATAAGGAAATGCGTGAAATCTTACAACTGGTAAGGAGCCACACTATGGGTGAGTTATTTCCAAAATTTCGAGAAAATTAGGTAAGCCTTTTTTAATATAATCAAAATTTTTAAAGTCAGAACCAAACTTTATTAAATACTTATCACGCAATCGGCTTTGTAATTTCTAATTTAAATGGTAAACTGTTCTACAATTTTGATTTTTTTTTAAACGTGCATGTCAATGGTAAAAAATTACTGGGTAAAATTTTGAGGTGATATCAGCAAATTGTTGAATTTTCGCAAAAATCAGTTCATTATGCTTTCGGAGAATATATCTGTAATAAAATGGCCAAAAACCTTTTATAGTGACAGAAACAAATCTAAAATTATTTAAATAAAACTTCCGTTGTAGCATAGCCAATTTTGCATGCGTATTAGATCGTAATCTTTAATAAAGATTCATACATGTGATGTGTGTAGGTCTTTTTTTTAGTTTAGAGGAACATTTTCCAAAATAATAGACGAAACAGTGAATAAACTAGCTCCACTAAATGCCAAAAATCACAAGAATCTGCATAATTATTCCAACATGCGATGAGAGAAAAAACATTTTAATTGAAAAGCTGCCCCTAGCTCTAAAAATGTTGTTCTTAATATCCAGACAGAAAACTTTGAATAATTTTTTAATTGTATTCTAGATATCCAAATTGAACTGTTTTGTGGAGCTCACATGAAAAAGAATTGTCTCAAGAAAATTGAAGAACTGGTTCGTCCCAAAACAAATATGCAATAAATAATCAAGGATCTTGACCAGTTGCAATTAAGTAAGTCTAAAAAATATTTGACAAAGTCTCCAGTTTGTTTATGAGGAAATGGTCAGATCAAGAAAGTTTCATTTCTTATTTTACATTTATTCCTAGCACTAATAATGCATTGTTATGAAAATTTTCAGAAATGAACCTGAAAATAATGTTAACGTTTATATAGAATCATTTATTTGTTATTAAAAAAAAAGGATTACTGAAACAATGAAGACTGTTGATTACACTAGTTTACAAATTTAAACTTTTTTTCATATCCAAAAATAAAAAAAATATTTTCTACTTCTAAATTACTTACTGATAACAAATCCAAAAACGGATAATCCCTATCACGTCAGGTTTTTTCATAAATCCAAAATAATGAACTTTGCTTTTACCTTCAAGTTAGTGTTAAATTGATTCATGTTAATGCACCATTGTCGCATAAAAAATGTCTTCGAGATCCTGCAAAGTAAGTGCAAATCAGTTTTCTTACGTTTGTGGTAAAATTATACCTAGTACCTAAAGCGGGAAGACCTGTTCAAATATGCTTAAAAGAAGATATCAAAGTTTTTAGGACGAAAATGTGTTACTGTTGATCTATTATAAGGGAAACTGACAGTACTGCCAATAAAAGAGACGCTAGTGTTAATCATTTTTAATTTTCAGTCATAATGTTTATAATATATACTGGGTGTTGCTTTTATTTGATACAACCCCTGTAACTTCCTTATTCTTAAAGATAAACCTATATATTTTTAAGCAAAGTTGTATCATTTTAAAAGATCTTTGTGAGACCAACCTCACATTTTTATTATCACTTCCCGTAGAAAAATCAAAAGTAACCAATTATTCTAAAATCAATACTTGAAAAATTTTAAATAAAACATTGATGACAATCTAGTAGCTTGAAAAATTGACTCATGTTATTTATTTACGTAAATGATCTTTTAAAATGATACAAATTTGCCCAAAGAACTATATGTTCATATATATTTAAAAATAAAAAAAATTGTATAAAAGAACAGAAATACGGGGTATGTTTATATAAATATCTCAAAAACCTGACGTGATGGATTTTTTCTGCTTTCAGATTTGAATTTCCCGAACCCAAATCCTTTAGATTCAACTATTTTTGTCTTTGGATATAAAACCTTGTAAACTAGTGTTATTATTATTTTACCGCTTTATGTTGATTTTTACAAAGAACAATGTTGGGGTTTGTTATTTTTCAAACAAAAATATTGTTTCCTTATCTATTCCTAGTTAGGTCAACCAGATAGCCTTGCATTTTTAGTTATCATTTAATTAGAAGTCGAAAAAAATTTCATTCGGCGTCCATTACGTTCGTTTTCCCTCCAGTTTTTGTGCGCATGCCCCGCCCACAACGCTCACGCAGTGGCGCCCTCTCGCGCCGTCGATAAAGCAGATTCCTGCCCCCTCCCTGTCCCAGATTGAGTCCCAAATTGGCCAGTAGGCGTCATAAGTTTTAATAAACTCCAATTTGAATCCATTATTTCCACTAATGGACGTTTCGCATACGATTTCCACGCAACCGTGCAAATCGTCGTCCCTCCGTCGTCTTCCCGCGACCGCATGACGTCCAGTCCCCACTTGCATACCGATCGATCTTGCACAACAACCATTTTATAATTACATAATCCGCTCGTTTGTTTTTTCCACCTAATCGATGACAGGTATCGTGACAGATGTTCCGACTGTCATTTGTCCGTTGCGAGACAACGCTTCCGTGTGGCGCGAGAAATGGGGTTATGTTGAGTATGTAGAGGTTCGTTAGAGCGAGGTGAAGCCGTCCCGGGTTAATCGAGTGGTGTTGATCGTTGATCGTTGATTGTTGATCGCTGATGGATCCGCCGCCCGCGCCCCGTCGCCGGAAGTACGTATTATTGCCATGTATTTGATCAGTCGGTTAAAGTGGGGTAGAGGCGAGGGCGTGCGCGCGCAGCGCTGGCCATTTTGTCACAATATTAACCTTTTGTTGTGATGTGTCTATCGCGATGAATAATGTCGTTTTCGGCGTCGTTTGAGGTTTCCGAGTGCGTGTCCCGTGCGCGAGTGCCGCCGCCGTCGGCGCAGTGATGGTGCCCGCCGGCAGCCCCAGGCGCGAGTAGCCGCCGCCGACCGTTGCAACCGCCACTAACTGTCTGAAGCGTCGTTCGGGGGCGGCGTCCCCGCAAGATGGCGGCGTGAGCGCGATGTGCGAGCCCGAGGAGGTGCCCCAGAGCGTGTGGTCGCGATGGATCCTCGACGCCATCCGCAAGATCCGGTCGCAGAAGCAGCGGCCGAGCGTCGAGCGCATCTGCCACGCGATCCGCCAGCACCACGACTACCACGAGGACGTGGTGGCCGAGCACCTGGAGGCGGCGGTGCGGGACTGCGCCGTCCTGAAGGTCTTCAACAAGGGCCAGAGCTCGTACAAGGACCCGGGCGGCCTGCAGAGCCGCACGCTGCGCGTCGAGAGGGGCACGGACCTGAGCAAGGTCGTCGCCAAGGCGGTGCGGGAGCTGGGGGAGCGCGACGGCTCCACCATCAAGTCCGTGGAGAAGTACGTGAGGCAGAGCCACACGGTGCTGGAGGGGCCGGACGTGGATTTGAAGAACGCGCTGCGGATGGCGGCCAAGCGAGCCGTCGCCAGGAATTTGATACTCCAGGACGGAAAGAGCTACAAGTACAACTATAATCACCAGAGCCCGAGCTCGAGGAAGAAGCAGGAGGCGGCGAGGAAGGTGGACGAGCACGGCGAGGCCGCCGCCAAGGTAGGACGGAGAGACACGTGCGTTGCGCCGCCGACCGACGGAAGCGGCGGCTTTTAGGTTAGAGTAGATACGGACGACGTAAACATTCACACGTTATCGCCGGCTTTTTCCTTATTTCGGCGTTTTTATCGACGCGCCACTTTTTAACCTTATCGATGGACGGGAAAAAGGCGCCAATTCGCGATCATCGGAATTTTCCCACAATCCATTTTGAAACTTCCTTACAATCAAACAATAATAAAGTAACAAAAAAACGACCCAACAAGAAAAGTCGATCCAAGGTTAAAATAATTAAACCCCGACGTCAGAATTAAAAACCCTAGATATTTCCCAAAAGTCACTAATGTATATAATATGTTTGTTTCATCGAATTGCACCATGTGTCGTCTGACTGGTATGATTGCGCATGAAACCGTCCCCCTAACATAAATACAGTCTTGATAGAAATGTGCACATCATCTAATCTCCTTTTTTCGGCAAGTATTAGCCCCAATTTCCTTTTTGAAAACGTCCAAACTCTACAAAAAGAAACTTTGAGGTTAGAACGTTTGCCGGTCAGATGACGTGATCGATGTAAACACTCTCGCGTTATCAGCGACGTTTTCGTTGTTTCCACAATTTTATCAGAGTGCTGTGTTTATGTTCGTGCACTTTTATCACTGAAGTGTAAAAAGGCGCGAATTCGACACTTCTACACATTTGGTTGGGTACTCTTGTGTCCTTAACTTTAGCGGTCAAAAGCTGGTCGAAACGGGTATCATTCGGAATGAGTATGTATAATCGGTAATGGACGTGAGTCATGTGAGTATTTGTAAACAATCTCGGACCCTACTTGTTACACACGCACAGGTTATTTAATGTGTTTTATGCCAGAAGTTGCGCTTGATTCACCTGGGGTATAATTGTCTCAAGTCCAGTTCTATTTTAAGTCGTTTGTATCAGATTCAATTCGTTTGATTGAACTTTTAATTCAAGGATATCTTGTATTGATCACTGTTGACCAGCTGACAAGTGACAATATTGCGATAGCTCTATAAACCGTTCAAGATGTTTTTAGACCAGGTAGGCCATGTAAATCAGGTAATTTGGTTGGCAACAAGTTCGTATATGCAAAGATCCCTAACGATGTGAAATTTGTAAGTAAAAAATTTCATGATTCACTTTTGTCTAGAGTTTATACATGACAGAACTACAAATTTATTTTGCAACTATACACTCAATCTACGAGTTTTTTTCTTATGTCTGTGATTAATTGACATATACTTGTTTGTGAGAATTTTCACAGTTAGTTGATATGGTACGGTATACATATTTGCCACTTGTCGCTTAATAAATAAACAATTTATTGACCTTGTCGCGATAATGAAAATAATTGTTCGAAGTAAATCGAAGATTCTGAGTGAAACCTCACCGGCAGGTGTTTGCGTGACCACTATCCAGATTTATCAATATAACCTTACATAGCATTTTCCATGTTTTTTATTTTTCCAAGGAACCTGCACACTTTTTACTAACGGGTGTGACGTCCGATTAAGTTACACGTTAATGATAGACATACTACAAACTAAACAAATTGGTTTTGAGTGGATAATGCCAACGTGGTTGGCGAAACGCGTCGATAAATAGTTTGTGTGGTTTCGTGACACTATTATAGCGCACTGAGTGATCAAAAAAATACACCGACAGACATGTTACGAGCATATACAGGTGATTGAACATTCGAGAATATTTTCAGTTTAAAATGCGACCTTAATCTGTGATTTTCCTAACTTGCTCTAGGAGCTGATTATTGATACTGTAGTACTAGTAGAGAACCAAGAGAGTTTGCTTGACTTCCAACCTTACGAGAACTTTCAGATCATCCGTAAATATATGTGAATAAGTAAGTGATAAACCAAATTCGTTTATGAATGATAAAAATTAAGATGGCTGCCTTGAGGGATCCCAGAAGGTATAGATACATTCGAAAGATTGTTATATCTACAATTTTGATTTTTACTTCCCGTAGTAATCGAGTCCATCGGACGAATTGCCACTTTTACGTTTTCTCGACGTTTCATGACTCCTACAGTACGAAAAAAGTAGTCCCTCGTCCTCGTTTCAGTCTGTTTGTCTGTATCCATTTTTATTATACACGTAATCTCCCAAACTCCTAAACCGATTGTTGTCAAATTTTGTATGTATGTTTGAAATATCATGTAGATGGTTTAATTTTTGCTAGTCAAAATTTGGCTAATCATCCCCACCAACAATTTGATGACATCATCTTCAATGAACCGTATTTTAAAATGACTTGAATGTTATATAAAAATACTCCCACACACTTGTAGTATACGAATCTGCTTTCAGTTTTTTCGCTTAAAGTTCAAATCTTAGCAAAAAACAATTGCATACTATAATAAGATTATCTATAACGAAAACTCTATATTATATATAGAGTTTTCTCTCAACAACACGATAGTTAAACATGTTGGTAGTTTCTTGTTGGGAAAAGAAGACTTCCTATATTAAGAAAAAAATGGACAAAATATAAGCCCCGCCCACCCACCCCTTCTCAATTGTGATGAATGCTTTATTCATCATGAGCTGAAGGGCGGAGTTTAGTTTTCAAAATTCTCATCTCTACAAGAAATGATCATATGAAGTAATGTATGTTTTTAAAATGGTAGAATTTTATAGAGAAATATTGATGTTGCAATTAAACTCCGCCCTTTTCGGTTTGATGAGGAATGAAAAGCTCATTATAATTGAGATCGGGGCGGGTGTGTGGGGCTTAATTTTAGTGTTTTTTTTTATATAGAGTTTTCTTTCAACAGGATAGTTTAACATATTGTCAGTTTCTTGTTGGGAAAAGAAGACTTCGCATATTAAGATAAAATGGACAAAATATAAGCCCCGCCCACCCACCCCTTCTCAATTGTGATGAATGTTTTATTCGTCATGAGCTGAAGGGCGAACTTTAGTTTGCAACATCCTCATTTCTCAACAAGCCATTGCCATATGAAATATGTTTTTAAAAGGGTAGAATTCTTTAGAGAAATATAGAAATGAGGATTTTGCAATTAAACTCCGCCCTTCGGTCTGATTGGGAATGAAAAACTCATCACAATTGACACCCGGGTGGGTGGGTGGGGCTTAATTTTAGTGTGTTTTTTTTATATATAGAGTTTTCTTTCAACAACAGGATAATTAAACATATTGTCAGTTTCTTGTTGGGAAAAAAAGACTTCGCATATTAAGATAAAATGGACAAAATATAAGCCCCGCCCACCCACCCCTTCTCAATTGTGATCAATGTTTTATTCATCATGAGCTGACGGGCGAAGTTTAGTTTGCATCATTCTCATTTCTCTACAAGAAATTGCCATATGAGATTGTTTTTAAAGGGTAGTATTTTTTAGAGAAATATTGAATACAAAGCATATTTCATATGATAATTTCTTGTAGAGAAATGAGGACTTTGCAATTAAACTCCGCCCTTCGGTCTGATTGGGAATGAAAAACTCATCACAATTGAGAGCGGGGCGGGTGGGTGGGGCTTGATTTTTGTGTTTTTTTTTAATATAGAGTTTTCTTTCAACAACAGGATAGTTAAACATATTGTCAGTTTCTTGTTGGGAAAAAATGACTTCGTATATTAAGAAAAAATGGACAAAATATAAGCCCCGCCCACCATATATGTTTTTAAAAGGGTAGAATTTTTTAGAGAAATATTGATGTAAAAACAAATTTCATATGATAATTTCTTGTAGAGAAATAAGGATTTTGGAATTAAACTCCGCCCTTCGGTCTAATTAGGAATGAAAAACTCATCACACTTGAGATCGGGGTGGGTGGGTGGGTGGGGCTTAATTTTTTTTTTTTATTATATAGAGTTTTCTTTCAACAATAGGATAGTTAAACATGTCAGTTTTTTGTGGGGAAAAAAAGACTTCGTATATTAAGGAAAAATGGAAAAAATATTAGGCCCGCCCACCCACCCCTTCTCAAATGTGATGAATGTTTTATTCATCATGAGCTGACGGGCGAAGTTTAGTTTGCCTCATTCTTATTTCTCTACAAGAAATTGCCATATGAAATATGTTTTTAAAAGGGTAGAATTTTTTAGAGAAATATTGATGTAAAAACATTTCATATCATAATTTCTTCTAGAGAAATGAGGATTTGGCAATTAAGCTCCGCCTTCGGTCTGATTGGAAATGAAAAACTCATCACAATTGAGAGCGGGGCGGGTGGGTGGGGCTTAATTTTTGTGTGTTTTTTTTTAATATAGTTTTCTTTCAACAATAGGAAAGTTAAACATGTTTTCAGTTTCTTTTTAAGAAAAGAAGACTTCGTAAATTAAGAAAAAATGGACAAAATAGAAGCCCCGCCCACCCACCCCTTCTCAATTGTGATAAATGCGTTAATCATCATGAGCTGAATGGCGAAATTTAGTTTGCAACATCCTCATTTCTCTACAAGAAATTGCCATATGAAATATGTTTTTAAAAGGGTAGAATTTTTTAGAGAAATATTGATGTAAAAACATATTTCATATGATAATTTCTTGCAGAGAAATGAGGATTTTGCAATTAAACCCCACCCTTCGGTTTAATTAGGAATGAAAACCTAATCACAATTGAGATCGGGGTGGGTGGGTAGGGCTTAATTTTTGTTGTTTTTTTTTTTAATATATAGGATGGTTAAACATATTGTCAGTTTCTTGCTTTTCTTGCTGGGAAAAGAACATTCCATATATTAAAAAATGGACAAAATATAAGCCCCGCCCACCTACCCCTTCTCAATTGTAATGAATGTTTTATTCATCATGAGCTGAAGGGCGAAATTTAGTTTGCAAAATCCTCCTTTCTCTACAAAAAATTATCATATGAAACATGTTTTTAAAAGTTCGGGGCGTGTGGGTGGGGCTTAATTTTTGTTTTTTTTTTTCTCTATATACGTAGTTTTTTTTTAACAATTTTTTGGTGCAAAGAACAACATATATTATAATAAAAAAA